GGTCTGGACCTTGAGCAAACTGTTGCAACTTGCGCTGATGTTCTGTTTGTGGCATGAACTGCTGTTTGTTTGAAAGATGGAGGTTATTAATCTTCCTGTCGAGAAGTTTGCTGCGTATTAAGCTTCTCTCACGTGGGTCGCCTGAACTTCTCATCGGCGTCTGGAACGACTTGGGCAGCCCTTGAACCGCAAACAATCAATCTGGCCTATGGGATTGTGAAGTGAAATTAAGGTTGCCCAATGAATGAACAAGCAGCCCTCGCCAAGAAGTCATGGCATTAAACGCTTCCAGGAGACTTGCATGAACGTTTCCACCAGCACCCGGCTGTGAGGCAAGAACTGCCGCTCCTGGTGATCGACGTGAGCAAACTTCATGCGAACCGGTTCACGAACAGAACAGTTAAAGCGATCTACCTCGTGGTCCGCAGCGAGGCTATTCACACGCCATCGCGATACAGGCAAATTTCGCTGGACCAGAAGCAACGGAGAAAGAGTTCAAGGGAACTGGTAGTCGGGTATGTCGTTTATTGAAACTCGTTAGCCCCTTGCTCAAGGGGGGAGACATATAGAGGATATCTTGGCACCGGTGATGTACACATCAAACGCCCATGGAGAACTCTCTTTCTTTACCTCCATATCATATCGTCCGCTCGAGATAAGGAAAAACAAAAGAAACCGCTCGGATATTCATGCATGGTAGCCGAAAAGAAACGCAAGAAGGCCGCAAGCGCGCTGGCGGAAAGAAAGGTAAGACGTTGGAAAAAAAAAAAAAAGAGTGGGCATCGGCGCTACCGGAAACCTCCCTGGGTGCCACCGTTGTTGAAGTATCCCTGATTCGCGCCTCCATAACCGCCGTTGTTGTAGCCTTGCTGCGCGCCGAATCCATGGTCGCTATATCCATGCGAAGGCGGGCTCATCGGCGGGGGAGGGCTTTGTTGGCTGTCAGGTGAGCCGAGGCGGGAGTAACCGCCTTGCGATGCGCTACGGCTTGGGGCCATGGGCAGGGGACCCGAAGGCGGCATTCCAGGGCTTTGGGTACGCAAGGGAGACATGAGCTGGCCGTGGCCATTCGGGTTGTCGCTATATGATCGCATGCCAGCTGCAGCACCAACACCAGCGGCGCCCGCCGCCATGGGCGCGGCACCCCACGCGCCCTTTTCCTGAGATGCCGGGATGCCGTAGGTGTTCTCCTGGACCATGCCGTTCTTGCTGAATGCGCCAGCATTATACTCGGTGCCTGTCGCGCCAGCAAACGAGTCAGGGTCGACGCCGCGCTTGTGGAAGCCCTCAAGCTCGAGACGCTCCTCTTCGGCTCTCTTGGCGGCAAGGCTTGCCTCGTTGGCACCACGTCTACGCTGGCGGATGAAGTACCAGAGACCAAAGGCAATCAGGGCACAGCCTACGCCGACACCTCCAGCATAAACAGCCGTTTTGGCGGTTGGGCTGAGCTCGTTGAACTTTTCGCTCACAGACTTGCTAGGTTCCTCCAGAAGAGCTTCCTTGACAGTTGAGTTGCCGCTGAGATTTGAGGTTAGCACAAGCTCAATTGTAGTGCGGCCTTTCAACGAGTGCAACTTACGCAGCAATCTTGATGCTCTCCCAGGAGCCCGTCTTGTCTCCAAAAGAGTACTCCTTTCCGGAACTGTAATCCGTCACTTGCGCAGACTTGACATACATAGTGTACGGTCCGGCGGCGTAATCGGTGTCACCTCCAGCCCATTCTCTAGTTCCCGCAGCCATGCGGGGGTCTCCACCAGCCCAGATACCGAGACTGAGGCGCATGGGTGTCTGGGGATAGGCTAGGGAGTTGTTGGCGTCCTTGGGGAGAAGAGTGCGAACGTTGTTGCCGTCAACCCACCACTCGAGCTTCTCCTTGGTCCACACGCAGGTGTAGTTGTGGAAGTCGTCCTGGATGCTACCCGTCACAGGGTGCTCGGCACCGTTGTGCCAGTCCTGAACACCTTTGCCGAAAAAGTTGCTCAAGGCGTCATTCTTGATTCCAAGGAATTCCCAATCGACCTCGTCCAAGGTGTCGCTGAGCCACATCATAGAGCTCACGATACCCTTTCCCTTGGCGGCCCTCATGTGGATCTCGGTACGGCCCCAGAAGAAGTAAAACTTGGATCGAATTGTCGGAGAGTCGCCTTGCTTGCTAATCGTGAATTCCGCGCCATTGTCCGAGGTGTACGTAACGGGGCCAACAGTGGTTTCCCAAGCATCGGTCGAGGGAGTAGAGTTGAAATTGAAGTTGTAGTCCATGCCAAAAGCCGGGTCGGCAGGACAGGTCGTGTTCATCGGATTACATTTCGTCGAGACTTGAGCGACCGCGGGCTGGGCAAGCGATGCCAGCACTGCCAGTGCCGAAAGAGTGTATTGAGACAGCATTGTGAGGGAGTGTGAATGAGAAATGATCCAATTGGACTTCCGCAAGGACGAACAATTGTCGAAATGAGCGATTCCGGACGTTTGCGACACGTCTAGTATCGCCAGAAGTCTGCAGAACACAGCGGGCCAGCGGTGAGGTCTTTTTATAACAAGAGAGTGACAATAGTGAGAGACAAGGAGTGTGTGTTGTCTGAGACGGACGAATTCACCAGACTCAACGTCGCAGACACAGACCGGGCTGTTGGAACAGAGGGAGAGAAAGTTAACCTCTGGTGGAATGTCGAAAGGAATGGCGATGGTGGGGTTCAAAATCCAAGAATTCAAAAGCTGGGAATGAGTGTGGATATGGGTTTTGGCGTTCACTATTCAGATGGGGGCAAATGGCACGCATGGGAAGAAGCCGAAAGCACAGACTCGGGAATTGAGTTAGGGACTCAATCAAACGGAGAGCAATGATAGGAGGCAACCTCATCTCAACGTGGGCGAAGCGGAGAGACAGATGCAAGACAAGCCAGGGGATGCCGGGCGCGTGGCAAGCAGCATGTTGATTAAAGGGGGTGCCAATGTCTCCTTCTCCTCTTTGGGTTCTTGGAGTCGCATCTGCAACGGGCAGCGTTTCCACACCAGCGCCAACCAGGATTAGCGTTACAACTATCGGTCGAACCAGAGGCAAGCAGCATTCTTGGGCCCGGTTCGTTGTGGCACCGGCAGTGCAAGGTTATCAGAACGGAAATTGTTCGACATTCGCCAAACGGTCAAGCGACCGACTGGGAAACTCTCAAGATTATCCCGAGATTGTTAGTGGGCCGGCCGGAGGAGAAATGGCGCCTTGGGCCGGGGGAAACGGCTGTGACGATCTGGTGAACAGCGTCATGGGCGGTTGGAAAAGCGATCAAGTATGAGGCATTGCGAAGTAACCGCGGTCCGCGTTTGGGTGCGCTTCCGGGCTCTCTCGTGATACTGAAGCAAGCGATTGCGCGCACCGAAGGCCTGTTGGTAGTCCGAAGATGGCCATGTGAATATCCATGTTAGGTGATACCAAAGAGGCCACAGGAGTCGGCGATCACACCGCCGTCGCGTAAATCTCGAGGCACCTGCCCAAGCTGGAAGCATGAAACAACATCTGCCAAGCAGTCGAGTACGGCTTGCAGTGGTGTTGTGTGGTTTCAAGCCGCATCTGAAAAGATAGTTGCAGCTGCAACTTGTAAATGCGGGTTGGAAAGAGACGTTAGGTTCCCGATACTCACAACTTTGCGATCAATTCGGTATCCACGCCGTGAGTGATAGGACTTCTCCAGCTTTAGAGCATCACTCTCCAAAAATGCGACTGCGTTTCGTTATTGCTAGCATCTTGCTTGTTGACTAATGACAAGAATTGTCGCCCTACACAAACCAGCTTCTGGGCCTGACTCGAGACTGCAACAGCGGGTTAATAATGCTTAGCCTCAAAAGAGACGCCTGGCCAGATCTGCTGCAGCTGTGATCCGAAGTGATGATGGTTATACAGCGATGGAACTCTCATGAGGAGCAGAGCCAGGCGTCTAGTGACGACTCAAGATAAGCGAGAGAAGCGTAGTTGTGAAGATAAGTCGAGGCGAGATTGGTGTCGTGAGCTGTGGTGTCGTTGATTGGGATCTACAGGCTTAACATCTGACCTGAGCGACTCGGTCGCTGTGGGTCACTGATGGCGATGATTTTCATTCGCAAATGAGCAATCGTAGTGTCTTGTTGTTGCTGCGACCCGTTTGGTGGGAAACACTGTAATAGCGTTCGTCGATGTGCTGAGTTGTTTGCGAAACTTCAATCATGGAAGCGTCGAAGGTTTGCGGAAAATGAGTGAGACAAGGAGCATGAGGACAAAGTAAGGTGAGTGTTACCAGTAAGGTGGGAAATAAGGTGAACAGAGTGAGATGAGTAAGGCTGCTAAGTCAAAGGCAATTCATCGGGTATTCGGCGCATGACGGGCCCAAGCGTCCGGGTCAGGGCCGGCCGAGAGATCCACATCCTAAAATGACAAAGCAACCGCTAAAACACAAGATTTTCCGCCTTGTGCGGTCACCGCGTGGTGCAGTGATAGACGGCTTGGCTAGACCGATATCGCTCGTCAAGTCAAGCCACAACGAGACATTTTCTGAATCACACTATCATTCGACATCCTCACTCGCGTCAAGAAGCTGCAGTAACGACACTCTAGCTCATCAATGATCCAAGACTCTAGAGGTTGAGTTAAAGACATGCTCTTTCTTAGTATGCACAATGCCAACACCAATTTCGGCAATCTATCCGTGGAAAAACCCACATCGTCCCCGAACTTCACCAAACAAACGTGATTTTCGGCAGCCCAGTCCGCTCCCGATTACGCGGCGGTGGATTCTTTCAAGAATGGACGCTTACCCCGAGACGTAATAGTGGTGCAAACCGCCCTGCAACGACATGCTTAGATGCGATAACGCAATCCCAACCCCAGACAAGGTCTGCGGGATAAGCCCATGAAATTTTCAGCTGTTGTTTGTTCAAATACTAGGCTCACTCCTGGCTTCTGACTGAGTCATCTCCCTGTCTAACCTCGAATTCATCCTTCACTCAACGTTCGCAAAGCCATCATAGCAGCCGAGATGAGCGCGCAAAGTGGTCTGCAAGTCGCAGACTCGTCCGACACCGATGCCGGTAATGAACAACCAAGGAACGAAGTTCAGCGGCGCAGCTTTGGTGATTGGCTCCGTGATGATGTCAACATCCGCTATACCGATATCCCAGTCCTCGCTTGTTGTCTGGTGTCCGGCTTGTGCGACAGTGTAGCAGTAAACGCAGCTGGTGTCTTCGTCAGTATGCAAACAGGTAAGAATCTAGCTATCAGGCAGGGGAAGCAATATGCGATACTAACCTGATTGAAGGAAACACCATCTTCATGGCTCTGGGCGCCTCGAAGCTTCCGGCTGGCGAGCCCCTCCTCTGGCTCAAGTCCCTCAGCTCCATCGCCGCGTTCTGGCTAGGGTGCTTCTTCTTCTCCAAGTCGAGACACATTCACCCCAAGCGCAGAAGCACTCTCGCCCTATCATTCCTTCTCCAGTCCGCACTCGTCTTCCTTGCCGCCGCCTTTGCTCAGACACGTCTCATCGCCGACTTTGGAAAAGCCTCGGTGCAAGGCTCCGACTCGAATCACGAATTCAAGACCTCTGAAAACCCTCTTGTGATGGTCCCCCTTGCGCTTCTGGCCTTCCAGTTTGGCGGACAGATTGTCACGAGTAGGATTCTGGGATATAATGAGGTTCCTACCAACGTCCTAACCAGCGTCTACTGCGACCTCCTGTCCGACCCCAAGCTCTTTGCACCCCTGAAGGAGAACCCTAAGAGGAACAGGAGGTTCTTGGCTGTTGTTTTGCTCGTTCTTGGAGGTATCATTGGTGGCTGGCTGCAGAGAAGCCAGGCTGGCATGCCTGGGGCTCTTTGGATTTCTGGAGGAGTCAAGTTCATCATTGCCGTCGCCTGGATGGGCTGGGCCAGCAATGAGCCGGTTGAGAGCAAGCTGGAAAAGGGCGTCAAGTCATAATTTAGATGTCTGCCTAAGCCATAGACTATTAGCCGGATAGATCCTTCCCTCGTGGGATAGCCACATTGTTAGATACGAGCCTGAATGCTAAGTGGCCCAGCGATCCAGCGAGGTGATCGAGTTGCCTACCCCAACGCGCAGGCCATTCACCCATGACGGGAGAATCTGCTACAGATTCCAACACCGCCAAACTCAATCTTTCAAGACAGACGCTCGATGAGATCCATCGCCTGGTCAGACTGGTGAGGTTTCCTGTTATTGTGGCACTCCGAATCTCACTTGTTGCTGTAGGAGGTTTCTAGTGGGACATATGATGGTAAGTGACTTGTTTTTGTGTACTTTCTTTTCAGGAGCCAATTTCGACGGGTCAACTGAGAGCAGTCAGTGTCGTTTTTGACTTGTATACGTCCACCTCGAGGGGAACTCTCAAGGCTCACGGATTGCCGCCCCAAGACTGGTTTACGTACATATGTGCACTTGTGAAGGTCACGGTCGTTCTGGCGCCGCTTCTGTTTGATATATGCATACAATACGTGACAGCTGTGAACATTGACCGAAGTACCTCATGACAGCTTGAGTGCGCCAATTAACATTACCAGAGGCAGAGACAAAAGGTAACGAGGTCGCTGTCTACTGATGGGCAAACATGTGCCACAGACAGGAGCAGCATCTCGTCAAAGTGTTATGTAGGATGGCTGGCTTTGCAAGTCGTCTCAGCGTATGTCATACTCCGCTGAGACAACGTGATCGATTTATCTCGCTTCAAATCTGCCGAAATCAATTTTTTGATATGCAGACCAAGCCACTGCCACGGGGTCTCTACCATGTCTTCTGTGTCATTTCGGCACACTCCGATGCGCCGAATGGGGGTATCATTGATACTCTAGTGCATAAACAGTCAATCAGACAGCAAGGAACTCTCAACCTGTCCTTGTTTAAACGAAGACTTCCCCACAAACGATCCCTAATCAAGCCTCATAGGATAGCTTCCATGGCTGACATGCTGCATCGTCCGCTCTGCGCCTGGGCCCAATCAAGAATGGCCCACCCCGGACGTAACCCACATGCCCGGATTCAAGATTCGCGAGAACCACGATCAAGTCTTTTGACCATCTTTCAGGATCACTTGGATGCCAGCGCAGGATCTCCACCTGTTATTTCATTTCTGAACCGCTGGACTTCTCGATTTCAGAGTTGAGATTGGCGATAACAGCCATTGGTAAATCATAGCGCCGTAGGGCAAGCCACAACGTCAACGGTCATCCCTAGCCTCCATCAATAGTGTCTTGCACCGTTGGGACCACAATCGAGTCTCGGTCTGCGAACGAGCGCCAGCTCATCAAACCAACGGGCACACGACCGTCACACACGCCGTTAGCCGAACTCTGGTGCTTCCGCCATCTCGTCACCAAGAATGGCCCCTTGCATCGCAGCTTAGCCTCCTTGGCGTCTAGAGGCTAGATTAACCGCGCCGTCTTACCAAAGATATGAGATGTCATAATCGAGGGTGTCCTACCCTGTCGACTTTGCATCACTCTATTCATCACCAACCAGATCACAGTCTCGGGGAACGGAAGGGGCAAGACATTTCTGAACAAGACCCTGCGTGACCTGAAGGAAAGAATCTAGGGGTCCTTCCACAAGAGGCTAGCCCACCGTCATCATCAGCCTCTCATTGGTTGACTGGCCACACCTCGACCCCTGCACTGCAGCCTTCCCATGCCAACCTTTGACGTCACCGAGGACGGTGATCTTGGAGCGCAGATCACCGACAAACAGGTTTGGAGTTGCTCGGCACCCAACCACCAAACCCGCCAAACGGCGTCTCAATCGGCTCTAACAGCTAGCTGTCCTTCGAGGAGCAGGAATGAGTGACGGACGGAGGGCATCTAAATGACCATCTTGGCATCATTGTGCAGCATCAACCATGCCGGCCTGCCAACAATGTCTGCAGCCAGGGTCTCGGCACGGGCGTCCGCCCAAGCGACGTACCTTACGGTAAGCTGTAACAGGTCACGGCAGTAGGAGAGCCATAATGTCATGAATGAGGATGAGGAAGAGGGAGGATAGGGGGAAAGGGTATGAGTTAGGAGAAGAGAGATAGATATAACCTCCATGCTCCTCCCGCCCAGAGTCTTGTGTTCCGTCTTATCCAGCATCCCAAGCCTTCATAAACAGAAGCACCCACACCAACAACCACACTCAATAACCTTGTAGGCGAAAACAAGCCTTTCGCCAAATCATCCTAGCAAATTACATCCCTTCCATCACAAAACCCCCATATTCTCAAAATGCCATTCTTCGGAGGCGGCCGTCGCGAACCCTCTCCCGAACCAGTTCGGGAGCTGACCCCACCACCGTCAGAGCCCCGTCGCACCGGCTTCTTTGGCTCTCGCCGGGACCCTTCTCCGGAGCCAGTCCACCACCAGCCCGTCGCCGAGCCCGCGCCCCGCAAGCACGGCCTCTTCGGCTCCTCTCGCCGTGACCCCTCCCCCACGCCGACAGCCCGCACATCCCGCACCTCCGCGACCTCCCACTCCTCTCTGTCGTCAACGACCTACCACACCTCCCCTGATGGCCACCACACCGGCGGAGGCGGCCTCTTCCGCCGCTCCACGGACGCGTCATCCGGTCGCCGGGGCGGTCTGCTGCACAAGTTTGGCGGCGGAGGCGTAGAGATGGATCCCAGCATCGTGCAGGCGCGCGAGCGCGTCATGGGCGCCGAGGCGGCTGAGAAGGAGGCCGACCGCGCGCTCATGGCTGCGCGAGAGAGCGTTGCTGCTGCGAGGGCTGATGTACGAAGGCTTGAGGAGGAGGCCAAGGAGGAAGCCAGACGGGCCAAGATCAAGCAGTACCATGCTCGTGAGGTCTCTAAGCGTGGCAAGGCCTTGGGACGTCACGGAGACTAAGGTTACGAACATGAATGGTGTGGTTGTGATAAATTCAGCAGCATTTCTTTTATACTCATGAGTTCATGAGCTGTATCATGGCGTACGTCGAACAATACGGAGTCGGGAGAGCGAAATAAAAGATTTCACATCATGTATTTTTTCTATTCATACACGAGCGACGATTCGGAAAACCAACATTACCTGTATAACAATTTGAGAAATGAAATTTTAACGAACACAAGATCGAGTCAATGTTTGTGACGCAAGGCAATCGATACTGTAACTTAGCAAAGCGTCTTTACTTATAAAGATTTCGCCTAGTAGCCATCAATAGAGACTTTCGCCAAATCAGACAGACAAAACTTTGCCGACACGGAAAGATAGAGTGACAGAGTGCGTCTTCAAGCCATGTCTGACAGTGTTGACAAGCTGACAAGCTGACAAGCTGACAAGCTGACAAGACCCATCAATGGTCTGCCCGCCGTTCTCCAGTTCTCCAGTCCGACTGCAACCGGGGAATCTACTCAGCTCCGAGAGGTAAGCACGGATCGGGGATGTTCCCGGAACACCCCCTCGCAAATCCTCAGCCTTGACACCCGGTCGACACCACTCGTTCTTCCCCTCATCCTCTGGCTGTAACCGGAGCAGACACGAGAATCTGCAGCGTCGGATTTCTTACTGCCCTATCGATCAGGTTCTCGGATATTTCTTACTCAAGGCGACGATCCGTGACGCGACGCTTTCTGATACATTGACCGCAACTCCGAGTCCGGTTCATCGAGAGCAAAATGGAGGTTTAGAAGTTTACTGATTTCAAAGACTTTCCTTGCAGTGACAGAGTTCATTAGGCAGCATCTAGTGACAACTTTTCTCGCTTGCTTGAGAACAGGCTAATGGAAAGAAAGACCAGAACCCAATTGACTGCTGCTGTTGAGCTTTCATCCGAGATTTCTAGTACCCTGAACCAATACCTCATGCCATCCACCTGCCACCTGCCGAGCACGCCGTTCCTCCGGCCGTGCTGTCCTTCTGCGGATGCGTTGAAGACCGAAAGCGACAAAGGGAATGAAACCTGACCCTCCAACCCTGTATGTGCATTGTGAAGTGAAACGGGTATTTACATTTTTTGCTCAAAAGTGGTCAGTGCCCAAAGGTATCAAGAACTCATGTCGGCGACACATTCCGTAGATAGCCGCCGAAGTGAAAGGGAAAAAGGTCGCGTCTGTCCAAGGAGCTGGACGGGCTGCAATAAAAGACATAGGGTAAAGGCCGAGATGCAAGTCGAGGTTGAAAGGTCCAATCCGTGGGAACGCCGACGCCTTCAAAGTGCCAAACACTGAAAAAAATGGAATTCGAATCCGTCCGAACAAGGGCCGCTCGTTCGATCGTGGTCGTAAGAAGATGAAGAACGATCATGGCAAGAAACGGATGCACCAAGGTAATGTTTCTCACATGATGATGCACTGAGACTCTTCGCGATCCTTCTTGACACTGAGGGCGACGCGGGCGGCCTCGGTGAAGGCCTCGTTGACACCGCGGTTGCGCATGGCAGAACACTCGAGGTAGCGGAGAGCGTTGATGCGGCGAGCGACCTCCAAGCCCTGTTCGTAAGAGATCATGGGACGCTTCTCTCGCTGCTGGCCCTCGGCGGCCTCCTCCTCCTCGTTATCGGCCTCGCGGAGATCGCACTTGAGGGCGACGAGAACCAACTTCACGCCGGGGCAGTTGTCGGCGATCTCTCCAACCCACTTGCTCTCGACGTTCTCGAGAGAGTCCTTGCTGTCGACGCTGTAGCAGAGCATGATGAGGTCGGTATCGTCTGCGCCTAATTAGCAAGCGATCTCTTAATCCACCCAATGTTGAATATCGTACCATAAGACAAGCTGCGGAGGCGGTCGAACTCTTCCTGGCCAGCGGTATCCCAGAGGGAAAGCTCGATGTGGACACTGTCGACGAAGATGTCTAGCAATTCCAGGTCAGTATTCAAACCGGCAGAGGGAGGATCGCGACGGAGGCATCTTGCGACTGGGCGCAATTCGCTGGGGATCGAGGGATTGTACCATGGACGTAGTTCTCGAAGACGGTGGGCTCGTAGACGGTCGGGAAGTAGCTGGGTCAAGTCAGCAAGAGATGCACAATTGGAAGGCCGACATTTTCCAAGCCTTAAGGCTTGAGAGTTGAAGGAAATAGTATTGAACTTACCCTCTGGTAAAGACGTTCAACAACGATGTCTTGCCGCACGCGCCATCGCCACTGCAGGTCGCAAGTCAATTAGGCAAACACTCCCAATCGCAGCCACCAAGGAGGCAACACCAAGGGAAGGTCGAGGAGGTCTTACAGGAGGACCAGCTTGCGCTGGACGGTCTTGTTACCACCGCACAAAGGCATACTGGGCGATCTGAAGGAGGTGGATTCGGTCGGGCTGTAGGAAGTTGGTCAGGGAGAGTTGATCGAGGTGAGGCGAGTCGGTACGGTGCGGTACGAGATCGGTTTGCGTGGTTGCTTGTGGAAAGCAAAAAGAAAAAAGATGCTGTCAGCCAGTAGGAGGAATCTTGGGGAGAGTTCGTGGTTCGTTGGTCAATCAGCAAGGGGAAGGTGCCAGAGAGGGTTCTGGGTTGTTGTTTGGAGGTGGGTTGGCACGGCCGGTTGGTGCGCGATGTGGTGGTGAAAGGAAATGGACAAAGAAAGGCCGATGGACTTTGGGGTAACTGCCACTGGAAGTGGAAGGGAGGTAAATTGATGGTAACGCAGGAAGGAAGGCACGGTACGGTGCGGTGCGGTGCGGTCCAGGTGCAGATGCAGGAATAATGGAAGGGAACGGTGGGGAACAAAAAGAGCAAGGAAGGTCCAAGGTCCAGTACACTTTCCGTAGATGCAGTGCAACAGTGCCTCTTTTTGCTGGAGAGGAAAGTGCCAGGCAAAGCGGAGTGGCTTGAGGGATGGCTGTGACTGTGATGTGAGGCAGAGGAAAGGCAGGCAGGGCAGGAAGATGGGGGGAAACAAATGGGAGAAGGAGGCAGGCACTGGAGACCAAAATGAGGTAAAAGGTGCAAGTGTGAATTTTGGGGTGAGCAAAAGATGCAGGAGCGGGAAATTGAAATTGGGTTGGAAGAAGGTGCGCTGCTCAATTGGCTGAGATCATGTCAGAGGGCCACTCAATGGAGTAGAAAAGAGCAATAGCGGACAGGGTCAGGCACTTCTTGCTGGGGTGAGCCTAGGAGGAAAGGAGACGGAGGAACACAACACTCATTGCCTATTTGGCGCTGGGCTGGAAATGGACCTTTGGGGACCTGTGGAAGGAAGCCACCCAGCTGGATAAGGTAGGGACAGGCAGGAGCCGCTGAGGCTTTGAAGATGGGCACCTTCCCAAACTGTTACCTAAGAAACCTTTTGCTCTGTGTGGAAAAACAACATTGAGAATACATAATAATCACCATCTTCTTCTGCTTCTTCCTCCTCCATGAGGATATGCTTCAGCACCAGTCCGACCAGAGCAGAAAAGGGGACCATAGGGAGGCTGCGTGATTGCGTACCCCGTCACTCGTCACTTCAGTACACTTGGAATCCACAAGGACCGGAATGGGGAACCTCATGAATGTCACTGACTGAGCGCCTCCACCGAGCTGCGGAGGGCCCTCTGCCAAAGAATGCCCTGAGCACACATACGGACACTCTACGGATACCTACCTGTCCAACTTGACACGCTTTGCTCCATTATCGACCAAGAGATTGTTCACTTGGACTGCGACTCCAGTCTGCAGCGTACGGATTCCTACTTCTGCCTCCAAAAGTGTACAGAGACGCTAAAATATCCGTAGATGCGAACTGGGAAGAAACAACTTGAACGAGTGGAGACTTCCCCGCCACACAATGGCGCGCATCTGCACACACTATCGAGCTGCAGACATGTCACGACAGGGAAATCAGATTGAGCTGCGCGAGAAAAGAAAAGAAATCCCTCCCAAGAAGTCACCAGTTGTCCTTCGTCCCGAACGAACCCGCAACCTCCAACAAAGTCATGATATATCCCTCTCACAAACCACCAGGATGGACGCCATGAAGATGAAGAGGCTCGGGGCATGGGCCAGTGCGCGTCCAATGTGAGCTGAGCTGAGGCCGACCATGAGGTCTCGCCAAAACGGCATCAATGATCCAATGCTTTTCCAGCTTAGCTTTTGGCTTTTCCCTCCCCCCCTCCCCCCCTGCCACAACATGGCCGAGTGGCGCTTGGGGACCGCCGTTCTTGGTAAGACAGCTGGATGGGGCAGACAAGGTCAACGAGGGGCACCAAGTACTCATGTATAGGAAAGCATCGAGGGCTATCTGGTACAAGAAAGTGTTCGGTACTGGACGCCAGAAACCTCCGCCAGAAACCTCCGCCAGAGCTCGGTTGCGCTACAGGCCTAGGCCGCCTTATCTTCCGCTCTTTCGCCCGGCTGCGGCACCTTTCGAGAACGCCAGAGTCAGACACGATTCATCGTCAAGTCCCCCGACCTTTATCCAGACAAACCTTGTTCCTCCGTCTCACTCACATACGAATATGCAGCTCCAATGTATGCTGAAGCCATCACGGCCGTATCCGTCGCACCATCTCAATATACTGGCCAAATTTTGAAGTGAAAATACGCAATCCTCTAGTTTCACCTCATCAATCCCGCCGCTCAACCTCAATTTGTCGTGGGCTGTACGACTCGTTGCGCCCCTCACTCATCCCACCCATCGTCATGTCCATGGTCCACACTGCAACGAACCAAGGAAGTAAATCCGATACCCACCTCTGTCCAAATAAACGCTCTCCACTACTCAAACAAAAAACACCATCGTTAGCCAAGGAAGCAACGCGCTTTGTGGCAGGCTCATCCCAGCGACACTCCCGCCGCAAAGCGCCGGAGCTCGACTCGCTGGAAGCCCCGAGAGCGGCACCTGTTTTTCGGATCGAGAGACTTGGGCGAATCCACCACACCATTCACCCTAGAGGCAAAAGGCCCGGGCCCGTGGTTACTCCGTGCGAAGTGAAGTTCTTTTGGTCCTATTCGGTTTAATTGCTCTCGTTATTACCTTAAGGTATTCAGCGCTGCGAGAACCCTCAGTTGACTGCAGTGTCTAGAGGCATTCCGATATCATATGCTGCCCCTCTTTGCAGCTCATCAACACCCCTCATTACCCCTCATCACTTCATGACCTTCCCCATCAGTAAGGCAAAGGCAGCTGGCATCGTCAGCCTCACTGACAACGCAACCATTGCGCAACGGAACAGTGAGGCACAGCCAAGAATCGTGACGCATCATCACCCCTCCGCCAAGCACCCGTTCGCCGCTCCATCGTGCTTCGGATCCTCCAACCCCTCCCCCCCCCCCAAAACCCCCCAACCCCCCTTGTTGTGCCCGACGACGCCTCCCGCAACCAGTCCGAGTACCGCTACCCCGGATATCCCATTGTCAGTACTCACTTGCTGTTTCTCTCGAGGTCTTATGTAAGATTGCATGCCACCATTCCGTGAGGTATTCGATTATTGTTCCATTTTTCTACTTGTTCGTTACACGGCAACGTTCGTCACCGTGTCTTGGGTATCCATTACAGCGTCCCATCACCGTGTGTGCAGCCTATAACATGCCTCGCATTCTAGAATCCATCCACCCACGACGTGCAGTCGGTGGCACTAAAGCTTTCAGCCCATTCTTACGCCGAATCCATGGAGACGCTTAAGCACGTCGTCCCTCCCTGCCGTCTTCCGGCAGTGTCCCATCCCGCCTTCGCTCCCGCCGGGCCCGATGATGCATAGGCGATCGCTGGCTACTGCGGCCCAACTCCGTTCTGTCGGCTCGCATGGCGCCCGCTCTTTGGCGCTTGACCTTTGCCCCGCGAATCCTCGACCTTCTCTTCAGGTTTGCCCCGCAAGCTGGTAGTTTGCGTGGTATTCGATTTGATTCGGCCAGGTCTCGCCGGTCCTACCGCATTCACCCCTCAGTCATCGTCTCTCTGCAGACCCTGCCTACTACGGCCCATCCTCTCCCCGAGGCTCATGTTGCCGGCCTTCCGATGCAGACCGTTCACAAATTGCCTATCTCCAAACTTGGATGATCGTTCTCTTGCCTGATCGTCGGCTTGTCGCGCGGCGCTCTCCCGTTCTTCAAGCGCAGCCAGTCGGCGCTCCCGATCTGTGTCGAGATCTGAAGCAGCTGCCTGCATTGCCGCCAACTTGCGAGCCCTTTCCTCCTCAGCGCCCTTGTCTTCCACCTCTTTGCCACAACTGGATCCATTGGTACGGGCAGCAGGTCGTCTGTCAGGCCCTTGCCGATGATTATCGTTGTTCCGGCGGCCCCGGGAAACTGAAGCTTCTCCATCCCGGTCGCCACGCCTGTCGTGACTTCGTGGCGATCTCTCCCGTGGCCTGACGGGTCGTTCGTCCTCGGAGCCTGAGTCTCGGCGCCGCCGTTCGCGGTCGTCGCGCCTGTCGCGTCGATCGCGTCTGTCGTAATCGTTCTTCTCGCCAGAGTCGCGTCTTCGAGGGGATCGGGATCTAGAAGTGCGTCTGCGCTGGTGGTGCCTGTCTTCTGAATCGCTGCGTCGACGTCGCCTTTCAGAGCGCTCTGCCTCGTCGTGGTCGTCTCTCCGACGGCGCGGGCTTCGTGATCTTGAGTAAGATCGTCGCCTCTTACGGTGCCTTTCCCGATCATCGTCGTCGTTTCGATGCCTGTGATGCCTTCTCTTGTGCCGCTCCTCCTTTCCTTTCTTTGACTTATCGTCTGCCATGCCCATGGATGCAAGTAATTGACGACGCTTGATGGGATCATTCATCATGGCTTCGTAGGCGGCCTGCTCCTGTCGCTTGATAGCAAGCAGGGGGTCTTCTCGAACTTTGGCTGCTGTGTCGCGTGCTGTATTGGCCGTCTGAAGGGCCATGAAACTCTCCTGTCCAGCTTGCTTCTCTAAGTTCTTGTGTTCGGTTCCCTTGAGCAAGTTGTCGATGCGTCGCTTGCCCAAGAGGTAGCTCTCGCGCTCCTCGGTCGTGCCGGTCTGTCCATCGGTAGGTCCGCTATAAAGAAATTCGACGCGGTCGACTCGTTTGGTGTGCCCTGCAGCCTCGAGCTTCTTCTGGAGTTCTTCGCGCTCGCGCTCCTCTTTGAGCTCGTTAATTCGCTGTTGTGTCTTCTTGCGCTCATCGAGGGCTTTGCGTTCCTCTTCCCAGACCTTGGCCTGGTTCTTGATGAGAGAAGGGTGGAAACTCTTCTTCAAGTTGAGATCGCCACCCATCTTGCCGACTGCTTAGTCGAGTATACTGGAAGATTCTTCGACAGTTATTAGAGAATGGGCCAAGCCGGAAGTTGAGTCGCTTGGAGATCTGTTGGAGATGTACGTTGTTGGGAGAGATGGAGGTTGAAACTAGACAGATGGAAGTCAAAAGGTTGGCGCGGCTGGGCTCGAGTCAAAAAAGCCATGGGAGCAAAAGTCGCCTCCGTTCATGTGGCCAGTGCGCAATCAGAGGCCGTGGGTGGGTCCGCCAATCGATAAGCTCCCCCCGCCTTCCATTCATTGCCCACCACAGCTACACCTGCCTGGAACTGTCCCGGTCATTGTCCATCAGCCTTACCTTCACGTTCAATTTCCAACGACTAACAAACCTACATTTTCTTCCACCACACATTTTCCTGTAGCTCTTTTCCAGTCCAGTCACCAGAGTGCACTCCTTTCGATCGCCCCTTCGGATACCCCACACCTCCCTCACGCAGTCAAGATGTCTGACGACGACGACTTCATGCAGGAGTCTGATGAGGAGCAGTGAGCTTCCCCCAGACGGGCCTCTCAACCCTGGGTTTTGTAGCAGGAACCGCCGAGACTGACTAGGCGCAGGTACGACTTTGAGTACGAGGAAGACGACGATGAGGACTCCGGGGATGTCGGCATCGAAAACAAATACTACAATGCGAAGCAACTCAAGCTTACCGATCCCGAGGATGCTATTGCCGAATTCTTGGGCATACCACCGTTAGAGGAGGAAAAGGGCGAATGGGGCTTCAAAGGCTTGAAACAGGCCATCAAACTCGAGTTTAAACTGGGACAGTATGAAAAGGTACAGCCCAATCTAAACTTCCTGAAGAAAGTCCTGCCACCAACAGAAGGGAAATACTGATTTCGAAACCAGGCGACGGAACATTATGCCGAGCTGTTGACCTACGTCAAGTCGGCCGTGACGAGAAACTACTCCGAGAAGTCGATCAATAACATGCTGGACCACATTGAGAAGGGATCAGACAGCCCCAAGGCCGTGGCATGCGTCGAAAAGTTCTACTCCCTCACACTCGAGAGCTTCCAGAGCACAAATAATGAGAGGCTATGGCTGAAGACGAACATCAAGCTGGCCAAACTCCTCCTTGACCGCAAGGACTACAACACGGTCACTAAAAAGCTGAGAGACCTCCACAAGGCTTGTCAGAAGGAAGACGGCAGTGACGATCCCAGCAAGGGCACATATTCTATGGAGATATACGCTCTCGAGATCCAGATGCACGCCGAGACCAAGAACAACAAGCAGCTGAAGAGACTCTATCAGCGCGCCCTCAAGGTCAGGTCCGCTGTACCTCACCCCAAAATCATGGGTATCATTCGCGAATGCGGTGGGAAGATGCACATGAGCGAGGAGAATTGGGCCGAAGCCCAGACGGACTTCTTCGAATCCTTCCGCAACTACGATGAGGCCGGCTCGCTCCAGCGAATTCAGGTGCTCAAGTACCTACTTCTTACGACTATGCTTGTCAAGTCTACCATCAACCCGTTCGACTCGCAAGAGACCAAGCCGTATAAGCAGGATCCCCGAATCACTGCCATGACCGACTTAGTGGACGCATACCAGCGTGACGACGTTCACGCCTACGAAAATGTCCTGCAGAAGAACCAAGACATTCTCGCCGACCCATTCATCGCTGAGAACATTGACGAAGTCACGCGCAACATGAGGACGAAGGGCGTCCTGAAACTAATTGCACCGTACACACGAATGAAGCTGTCATGGATCGCGAAGCAATTGAAGATCTCAGAGCCCGAAGTTCAAGACATCCTAGGTTTCCTCATTGTTGACGGCAAGATCCAGGGCAAGATTGACCAGCAAGTCGGCACTCTCGAGATTCAATCGGACGCGGACAGCGATCGAACCAAGGCTTTGTACGAACTGACGCAATCTGTCTCGACTTTGTACACTACCCTGTTCAAGGAGGGCGAAGGCTTCCGATCTGCCGAGTTCCCTACCGATGAGCAGACCATGGAGATGATGGGCGGCGGTATGACCCCCAGAGGCGGCGGTCGTGGACAGCCGCGGGGCGTCGGACGGAAGGGTAAGGGCGTGGTGCCATCGATGTGGACATGAGAAGCATGAGTATACGTGCATGCCGGTTGGTAACAGCAGGCGATGAATCATAGCAGGTAAAGCTTACGGCTGGCCATTGCACCATGGCTGCTCGGTCAGCCGCCTTGCAGCAGAGACAGGGACGGAAGTGCTCAGACGAAGATGGAAGACGATGCCATGATGGCCTCGGCAAGCATGGAAAAGGAGTAGAGGCGTTGTCAATGTAGCTCATCAGGCCATGACAAGATACCAAAAAACATTCGATCAATATTATCAGTCAAAAAGGAAGGAGATGTTTTTCATCAAACACCTCAAGTAGCGCGCCAAACAATCGACGCAAAGTAAGTATGGATGTAGATGTAGGCAAAGCCGTGGACGAATACGGTTCGACAGCAGCTTCCCGCTGCGGGTGGCTCAATCCAAAGAGCTCCCAAGACCTCGCGGAACGCTGGTAACGGGATACGAGGCCGAGGGAGCAGGAGACGGCGAAGGAGGCTAAACATGGGATAAGTTATCGCGTCGCACGACGACGACGCGAGGGATCAAGAGAAATTGACTCCTTGGCTGGGAGAGGTATAGGTCCTCTCGTCTATCTCCATAGGGGACAACACTAGCACACTAGATACGTATGTTGATTCATCACCTCTTCGGACTCGTAGATCCCGTGGAGGCAACTGAGGAAACCGAAAATACGAAGAGTCGGACACGCTTGTGTGATCTCCCAATTCGATTTTCCTCAACGCTAGTAGAATACGCGATGGTGTTTTTCGCAATGGTGTTTTTGCGACGATCCAATCCAGACCTCAGATCTATCATCCAGCCTCTGGGCTTCGTTCCGGAATCTCAGTTCCGGAAATCTCATTTGTCCATAGGAACCGGAATACGACCATCTATCTCCCCCGCGCGATACAATGGAGGGGGCATCGAGCTGACCGAACAGCAAGGAAAAAAGAGTTTAGACACGCAGACGATAGACTGGTGATCAACTTATTTGGCTCTCACTCGACACCGCCATCACCGTCCCAATTCGCAAATCAATAGGCCAAAAAGGCGTCTGACCGATCGATGCAGCGGCAGTTTGTCCTGTTGGCCGCGGCGCAGTCCCCCAAACGAGACGCAGACGAGATGAATCTGGCCATGTCTTGTGTAGTAACCACCACCAACCTTTATCGATTTTTCCGTCTTCAGACCTTCACCTTGCAGCAACGATGTGTTGGTGCTCAGCTCAGCTCGCTTGCTTGGTTTGCATGGCCCGCGTCGTTGGTCTCGACGTAGTTTGACTGAGAGCTTGCAATTTACCCAGACATGGGCGCAGCAACAAGAAGAAGAGGGGGGGGGGGGGGAGGCCGCAGAGACTGAAGGCAGGGAGCCGAGCCAGAACGCGAAGCAAAAGGAAGAAAAGAAAAAAATTCTGCACCACCATCACCCACAAGTCTCCATCGCTCACCCCGTACTCTTCGACGTCGTGTCCGTGGCCGTCAAATGATACGACACGATGCTGGCGCGGGATTGTCCCGATGGTTCCTGGCAGCGTCGCATAACATAGGGACAGGTGGGCCCGGGAAGTTTTAGTCGTCTCTGCCCTGGTTCGTTAACGTAGCTTCAATTGCAAGTCTGATGAACATTTTGCCCACAGACTTCGCTTCCCGTGATGTGCTTTATTTTATCGCGGCACGGAGTATTTGCCTTAGCCTTTGGAGTAAGATCTCCAACAATATCGGGCCATCAATAACCATCCCACCCGCAGATCACACTTGGGCTGGTATTATGCAGTCGAGTTTCACCCCCGGCCCGTCTGCTAGATGCATAGATGGTGGTTCATTCCGTCTCCAAAATACCACTCTTCAGGTTGCGTCGCCTGGCGTCTAATTCGGACGTTGAACACTACCCGTAGGTTCAGTGGTGGTAATTGGCCGGGCGTAGCTTCTGCTCCGGAATCCAGATCTGTCACACTACACAGCATGAAAATACTTTTTCAACCTTCTTCCTCCTGCTTCGGTTTTGCGAGGTCAGCCCAATGATCGTGATCCGCTATCATGGCAGATCGCCATCGCCTACTTGCGAATGGAGACCTGGCTTAAGGGGAAGCCAATTAAATGGCCTCTATTATGCGTCTTTCCGTGGCCACCACCTCCTCCGTACTGAAAGTATACTACACCTCCGCGGGCTCGCGAGTAATGGGGGGGAAAATAAACCAGGCGTGGCAGGGCGATTGACGAGCCGGTCCATCCACTCAAATGCTCAAACGACACCTGCATAAGCCGCGACAAGGGCGAATCTGTGGTGCGCAACGCAGGCGGCAGGTGGGCTGCAGAGTAGCGAACGAGCGAGTGGTCTGCTTTTGCTCTCCGCCTATGTCTCTCCTCCTGCTCCTCTTTCTCTCGGCCGATTACTGGGCGAATGCAGACGGGATTCCGTGACGGGGTGAGCGGGCGAATTTGGCTCAACCATTGGAGAGGCCTGGGTGTTAACGAACCAAAAGCCTGCCCTCAATGATTGGACCTTCCATTCGGCGAATATAAGAGACGACAAGGCCTTAAAGTGAGAATATGGAAGGATTCGTGGTAGGTACTGAGGAGGTCCGCGGCCGGAGCAGTCGAGATTCAAGCGGAGGGAAGCTGATGGGACATGTTTGGCAAAAGTGTGTTTGCCTGCATTATGGATGCTTGCATGCCGAGAGTGTAATTAGTTTCCTTTGTGCCTCAGACTTCGCGTCACTACAATCGATGACCCAAGCTGATGACTACACGACCACGATGATCAAGACTTGGGGGCACGGGGGGTTGAGATGTTGTAAAATATTCTGCTCATGGCAAACGTGTCTCTCTCTCGCATGGTGCCATGGAAGATCTGACAGAATTTGGATTCACGGGGATGTTTGAGCCGAGCTTGGCTGAAGACATGCGCCACGAGCATGTTTCTGCAGCTTGCCGCGACACTCACTGGCCCTCATTGGCGGTTGACAGCAGGAAGCGTGTTGTACAATGAGGATGGCGGTTTTGTCAGGCACAACTGCAGTCGTAAGAACGATTGCAGCTGGTTGTTGGAGATCACGTCGCAAACCATGTCGATTTGTGGCTATCCGTATCCCGTATGCGCCGAAAATTTCACTCCCTGTCGTGCTTGTCTGCCTTCCCGCCGTTCCGGGGTAGACTAGACAGGTTGATCAACGCAGGCATGGCTCATCGAAGACAGAGCCGACCAGTAAAGTACGAATGAGCGACATGGTCAAAGGCATATGTCCACATCGATGAGATGTCAATTTTGACGTTGGCTCAATCGTAGACCTTGGTCAAAGGATGAGGCGATAATAGCGGCTGGGGCTTCGTCTACCATGGAACAACTGATCATCCTCTACATGCGCAGGCAGGGGTTGGGATTTTCTGAAGGATGAGCTGTCATATTGCCAAGGCCGGTGGTTATTTTGGAGGCCCTTTGTCGGGAAAGGGCAAAGAAGTATTTCGTGCAGCCCCAGCTGCGTATCTGCATGGCAAGCTCCCGAGCCTGGGAGTATTGAAGGGGACCAAGAGGAAGATTGCAGAGACAGCGGATGTGGTCATACTGCCTCCGTGCCGGCACCTTCACCCATTCATTTGTATCTCTCATTGCTCAGGATCAAGTCCGAAGGACTCTGTAGAAGACTTGCAATGCATCTGTCATTCTTCGCGCCTGTGGAGACGGGACGGAGCGAACGTGGGACGGGACGGGGTCTAAGTGGGCGGAAACGTAGCCGATGCGACGTTGCTGGCGACTGAACATTGTAGGCATAGCTCGCTCACGATATTCTCGGCGGCCCAGCTAATGTCTCCAAACTCAGAGCTCCGAGTGTGCCCCCTTGGAAAGGAGCCATCCCAGAAATTGTCTTTGATGGAGTGTTATTGGTGGCCTCGGATGCCGCAGGTGCCCGGACTAGACGATTTTGCTTCATCTTGTAATCGATCCACAACTTCTTCACATGCCCTCGACTTTCTGCCGATGATCGAGCAGTGGACGAGACCCGATCAGGACGCTGTGCTATTACTCGTAGTCTCCTGTTTCCTCGAGCATATAGACTAAGACGAATCTGAGATAGCGTCAGAGAAATACCAGGGGCATAGGGCTTGGGGCAGCAACGTTGTTATCTTGGGCTGGTCTGCAGAGTGCAGCCGGTCTCTCTTGAGAAGTCCGTAGGGAGCGCCGCCAGTCAGTAACCCATGCTCCTACTCCTGCCGAGAAAGTGCTGAAACCAGCTCTTTTGTTGGTACTTTAAACGCCGGAATCAAATTGTTTCCTCGAATCTGAGAAGCTCTCCTCTGTTGTCCTGCCTGTCGACGCTGTTTATCGCCCGTTCTTTCTTTACCTCTTCCCTATGTTATGTGGAGAACCCTGCAGAAAGCCGTACGGAACGGACGAGATTCTTATTCTGTCCCAAACGCAAGACAAATGAGAAAACATATCGGTACACCATGACCGCCTCTGGATTCTTTCACCCTGGTACGGGACTGGTGTACCTGGCTCATTTGGTGCAATGAGCTTAGTGGAGCAAGGGGAAAAGAAGAGACTGGTTCAAGCAACCTGCAAAGGTCGGTAAGGCTCCTCTGTCGCGCGCCAAGTCCCTGGAACATCTGGCTTCTCAGAATCGACTTGTCTTGACAGAATAGATCTCGGGAGGCTCAGACAGTTTCTCACATTTCTCGGGGCGCGCAGTTCAACCCTAGGTAGTCTGGCCCATATTGGAATTTGTTGCGATCTATTCCAATGTCTATGATTTTCGTAAGCAGAGAATATTGAACTCGCTTCGGTGATTGAGAAATCGCCCTCGACGTGTGCCAATGATTCAAGAATGCGCCCACCGGGAAACGGGGCATGTAGATCCCTAGGTGTCCCCACGCTCCACGTTGCCACAAGACCGAATTTGCAAAGTTGACATTGTCGAGTTTGCTTTCCCCTAGACAAACCGCATTCTCCAAGTCCAGGTCGCGTGCGGAACAGGCCGTCCAAAGGCTCCACCAACCAATCTTAGCTGCATGGAAGGTGACTTGACATATCGTAGTCGTCTGGCTTTGTTTAATCATGATCAGTGACCAACATACTTTCTAACAGATTTCCGCGAATGTAAGCGTGTTTGGCGAGTGACTTATCGAACCGAAAGCCATTCATCCCGATGTGTCACGGATCCGAACTATTCGGTGGTCCTTGGCATCGGCTGCGCCGCTTGTCCGCCTTGTCCGAAGCTCAAATTTGCGCAACAAAGTACTTCCCATCACCACTTTGCGATGATTGTTGAGCTGGTTTCGGCGAGAACATTGGGCCCCGGCGGCAGACACTAGGCGTTGCTTGCAGGGTCAAATTGGTTGCGAGGCTGCTTTCAAAATTGATTACACCCAGAGTCTCAAGGTGCAAGACGGTGCGCAATGCAGGTGAGACGATTTCCCGTATCCACGAACATTGTCTTGGTTTTTGACAGGTTGATAAAAGGCGGAATATTCTCGACAGCATCTCCTGCAAGTTCTAGTATGAGACATATGCCGTTGGTCGGGACCGAAGCACGCAGTCGGAGCTACTTGGTAGTCTCTTATTTCGGCCGTTCTGACAAGCGGGTCATGGGCGGGATGTGCGGTCGGACGATGTACGGAGTAGTGAGGTAAGTGATCGACAGCGTGAGATGTCGTCTCCCTGCACCACCATGGAGTCAGTGGGGATGATTTGCCATGGAACAGGAAAAATTCGATATCACGGCCTCCAGTTCTGACACGGGAGTCTTGGAAACCGGGCAGATTCACAGTGCCCAGACGGATCTCTCGGTCCTGGTAGCCAGGGGCATCATCAACGTCTAGTGAACTCGACTCATGGTCTACACTCCATTTTGCTGTCGGAATGATTCGTGTCTCTTGCTTTAATTTGACGAGTTTGGATTTGGGCGTCCCAATCATCGTTACAAGACGGCGACCGAGTCACTCTACTTCGTAAGGTTGTTGCAAAAGCTGAGCTGCACCGGGATCGGCCAAGTCTCGCGGGGGTCTGGCACTACCTTAGATGGAGTTCCCACAACGGTGTGTGTGATGTTGCGAGGGTTTTTTATTTTTTTTATTTTTTTTTTTTTTTTTTTTTTTTTTTTTTTTTACCTATGGTCAATATGATGCAAGATTACACCCGAAGAATGATCCAGCGTGGTGCTCACGGAAGCGTGTCATTGAATGTCGACCAGTCTCAGGTGATGATCCGTCCGGAGAGAGAGCTAGCTCAACATGATGTCAAAGTTGTCCGTGGAAAACGTCCGTTCGTAGTGTAGCAGCCGAGCACACCGTCGCAGCTAAAAGTGTGCTCGGCAGCGGCCGCCATCGGCCGTCAGCCAGTGACTGGCTTATTCCCTGCAAGGCAAAGCTTGGTGGGGTGTGGCGGGCTAGATTCGTAGCTTACTTTACGGATAGTGTAAGCCAGTCTCGTGGGAACTTCAGTTCTGTTAAGATAGCACGTAAGCTTCAAAACGACACCATTGGTAGGACCTCGAGTTGTTGGGATATTAGTTTTGGACTCTGAGCGGTCAAGATGCTGAGGTGATGACCAATGGTTGGAGAGCGGCGGCTCTCGAAAACAACAGCAGAAAAAGCAAAGACTCAGTACAGCGATTTGTCTCTGACGCCACGAGGCCTGTGATGGAATGTCGTTTGTCGTTAGCCCACAACGCTGACGCTCCTCGTGGTAGTTGTCCCGCTTTCCTTTGCGACACTTTGGTCGTGAGCCCAGTTCTCCTTCCAGCCTTTGACGTGCGTGTGAGCCTATGCTTAGGGTCTCGTGCTGGAGGTAACCGAACAAAAGGGCCAGCGAGAGAAGAAGCGAGGCGGTGGGACTTGCTGGTTTTATCGTGGCGGCATTGGGGTACGCTCTTGCTCAGTCACCATCTTTCGCAGGAGTCGCGCTTGTTGGACCTTTGGCTGCCAATGATCCACATAGTCGCTCGTACAGTCGATTGACACCCATGGCATGGTTGGAGGCGATGGCATGCTCGGCACATGTGGCTATCGTGAGGGACGCTGTATTACCTCTGCGAACGGATGCCACGATGCTTGCTGGGCGGAGGTACTTTGCACACATTCTGCTGGCTTGAGCTTTGGGGCTTTGGAGTATGGGAGGCAGGGTGGCCGCAGGCCACATTGGGTGACGGGACGTGTGGAGGGAGTGTGATGATTGATCACGATGGATAAGGTCGGATCAGCACTACAGGCATGTATCAAGACCACATTATTACGAGATACACGGGCTTCTGTTCACGATGGTAGTGTTTAGCCGTACCTCGTACGGATACCTTGTCGCCATCGCATCTTAGTCTTACCTCCCCTATGATGGCGCTAAGGAGCCATCGAGGGGTGCCACGGCCCTTTAGGTGGTCTCGTCTGGCCCGCTGGATGCTGGTGATGTAGTGCGGCATGCTGATGGGAAATGCTTGTGCCAACCTGGAACCCTGTCCTCGGATGCCCGCAGCCCATCGACGTCGAGGCTTGCCAGGTCCGTCCAGTCCCTGTCGAATGTCTGTGGGATGGGCACGCACGCACGATGGGGGGAAGACGTGCGGGTTCGCAGTGGAAACCCCAGTCAACCTTGTCCCTTGCTAGTCGGAACGGTGAAGGACAGGGCCTATCCCCGGCACTCTCTTCCCCTAGGAAGCCACCCTTGCTTGTACGTCGGCGTCTTTTTGATCGTATTGCTTCTACAACGGGCTCGCAGATTCGCAGGCTCGCAATGTCCATGAGGCAGATGAGTGTTCGCTCGGTAAACGTCGATATGTCTCCTACGCAAAGACATAAAGGTCGGGCGCTGGGAAGGATTCGTGATGATGTTGTTCAGGTTGGGTAGGTCTGGGGTACCTCGTGAGCAGACTACTCTGTATGTAAGGAAGCAATGGTAATTACCTTGGCTTTGCTGAGGCATTGATTATATGTATGTGTGTGCAATTAGTGATCTCGAAACAGACGATTCTCAACGTTCAAGGGATATTCGCGCAGCTGGTACGGCTGTTTGTACTTGGTGAAAATAAGAAACGGGTCATCCACATCGAAGATAAGGCAGAAACCAAATAGTGTTTGCGCGCAATAATTTAGAGGAACGTGAGGTGCATATACCCAGAGGAGATAGTGAGAAGACGACAAAGAGACAACGTTGAAGACGGTTGAGGACGGAAAGAGAGAAAGAGAGAAAGAGAGAGAGAGAGAGAGAGAGAGAGAGAGAGTGTGTGTGTGTGTGTGTGTGTGTCTGCCTGTGTGGGTGGGTGGGTGAAGAGTCTCAAGGTCACAAATCTAGGTAGGTACCTGAGGAAGGTAGTTACCTTGAAATTCGCGGCTTCCTAGGTCCTATCTTCAACGTGCCCAAAGTACCTTCCATAAGGTATCTCGAGGCAGAGTGAGGCAGGTTCGTCGCCACGAAAGCTTGAGGCTGAGGTTGTTCTTGCCTCTTTGATTCCATTTTCAGTAACGTAACGGGGCGGGTCTGCCGTGTGCTGAGATATCGCACAGTAAAGAGGAAAGAATATCCAATCCTGGTCCCAGGTTCCTGCCCGATCTACCTACCTAGGTAAGAGAAGGTAGGGAGCAAGCACCTGAGCTCTGCTCTTGGGCAAGTTTCCCCAGAGCACTTCAGAAAACCTCCATTTCTATCTCAATTACTCATCTCCAGGTCTTTCGATTGACGTTCACCGAGTCCTCGCTGTTTTCCAAGGTTCTTTGCCTACAGGTATCAGAAAGATCCTGCTTCGTATCTTACATCGGACACGAGGCATCTCGGTGTGTATTCGAATCTGCATACAGAGCAAGGTATGTATCACCTCATCCATGGCACTCCCAAACTAATGTTCCCAGGTTCTGAAAGACATGCCGCTCCCGTGGACCCTCGTGTGGGTACGCAATATCATCATGGCATCGTTGAGCTACTTTACAACGGCACACCCACAACACCCTATCCATTACCTATCGACCCCCCATGGTGCACCTCTGCCTGCGACCAATCTTTAGCAGACGGAGAACTCCCCGACAGTCAACTGAGGGATTGTCGACCAGTCCAACAGATTGAGATGGCCAATCGACGTCCAATATTTGAGGGAAACCTGGCACCGACCTGGCCAGACCGCCGCAGACTGCCTCTGAGGACCAGGAATCCAGGAGTCTAGGAAGCACGCCTAGGCCCGACTGCAAACCAGGATCGTTGGGCTCGGGCTCTTGTCTCTGTATCTCGTCCGACTTTTCCTTTGTCTCTTCCCTCTCTCTTGTTCTGCAGCCTGCCCTTGACCCGACGACCCTCGAGCCTTGCCATCTGTTCGAAACGGTACCTATCCGACGATGCACACAACTTCTCGACGTATCCGCAATCCGCAATCCTCCCAGCTTTCTCTTGCTGTGCCGCTTTGGCGGAATCCGCACACTCTGGGCTGTTCGGGGCCGATAATTGATCTCTGGATACGGGGGGGAAGAATACCTGACATTGAGGTACACAAGGCAAAGCACATCAAGAATACCTTACCTTAGGGACACTCTCGACAAAATACCTTACTCCGTGTGCAGCATCCATCCGAACAGAAGGAAAAGAAATGGACCAGGGGTTCCCCCCCCCCCTTCTCTCTCTCTCAATTGTCGCCGCTCACAATGCGCCCTCACAACTCACCATCCACAGACTGGACCCCAATTGGCAATTGCACTGGACGTCGGTATCCATTCTCGTCCCCGTTTTCCCCGTCATCCCCGTTGACAACGTTCCCATCCACCCATCCCATGTCTATCCGTGTGTATTCTGTATGCCCATGCCCCCCTGCTCAGTCCCATATCCCGTCACTCCCATCACGGGCGGTCTGCTGCGCGCGCCGCTCTGCGTGGTCTCTGAATATCCCACCATCGGCAGCCACAAGTTCACAACCACCCACACAGCACGCTACGGATACCATGTCATGCCATACATAGTACGAATACCGGACTATGCAGACTTGTATCAGAACACCAGCCAACCACCAAGAGGCACGGCACCCCATTTTGGTACTTGCCCACTGCATCACACAATGAAGCCTTCTTGAGTCTGAAGGCTGAGGTACCGTACGGATACCGGTACTTTCCCCCTTCTTTCTTCTTTCTTTCTCTATCCGTTCATCTCCAGGTGTCTTGCCATGGCCCGTTTCTATCCCCTGGTTTCCCTTGCCTTACATGGGATGCATGTAGGTATCTGTACGGATACCTGATGTTTTTTACTTGGAGTTTCCAATTCTCTCGACCCGAGTACCTACCTACCTTACCTCCACGGATGAGTACCTACTCAGTCATAGACGACAAGGTACTTTCGCCTTGCTCCAACTCCAGCGCCGGATGATGCCGTTCAGTTGCTCATCGTCTTGTTGCGGTCCCGATGTTGTTGTTTCCCTCGAACATCCCTGCCTCGATGTCGTTGCCGATGTTGTTGCACCTGCACATGCGGCTGCTTGTGCCGTTGCTCCAGTGTTGTGTCATGCTAGCTTCCATCGCCTATTCTTGGTGCAACCATGGCTACCTACCTACTTTGACCCCAGAGCAAGATACGATACGGATACGCTGCCTGTCTTTTTTGTCTGCCGGGCCTCATCCACCTTGCCTACGCATGTGGACGCAACACAAGTTGACAGGCTCGGGACACTGATTATCATCATTCGCCCCTATATTCTCTCCCGTCCATTCCCCAAGTACTTACACCTGCTCTCCTCCCTTCTTTCATCTTCCCATCTTCCTTCTTTGGTTGGACCTCTCGCCTTTCGCCTTTCACCTTTCCATCCTTTTTTCTGCGAATTGTCATTGGAGGAGGCTGACAGACCAGCATACCTACCTACTCGGTCTCAGACCAGCTGCTAGCCATCTATCATCTATCGTGTCAACTTGACCACAGCCAGGTAGGTAGACCCTCCCATACCTAGCTACCAAGCCATCGTCAGCAAGTAGGCAGCACAACCGTGATACCGGGCTCGTCTGCCCTACCCTACCTGTACCTACCCTACCTCCGATCTCCAGCTGCGGCACGGCACTGCACACTCACATCACATCACATCGAATTCCTCCACATCCTCTGTCATCCGCCATTCGTCGGAAGCACCTCAGCTCGGCTCGCCGAGAGGCCGGAATCAAGAACCAAAACCCAGATCCAGCCGGTCCAGGACACCCATTCGAGCTGTATTCAGCACAGCAAAGAGCACCATCGGACACGCCAATTTCCAAATCCAGACAGGAGGTCAGACTCGGCTACAAGACACCAAGACATTTTGGCAATAACAGTCTTTGCCGCAGGCAGTGACAGGCACATACTTCCTGTTAGTCTAAGGCAGTGAGAGTGTTAGCACCGGACCACCTCCACAAGCGAAGCCCGGACCCCAGAGTCGATCGCACGAGTTGGCGGGCTCTCGCGACTGTCGCAACAGCGATTCACACCAAAGAAACGTCACGTCCAACGCCGCGCAGACGGAAAGCAAAAGGCCAGACGCACCCCGGAAAACCACAGGTCACATTATTGTTCCTTTTTAGCCCCTCGGACGGCCATCGAATTTTCTGCACTATTATCACCCCTGTTGCGGGCCTTTCTATTCGTCATCTCAAGCCAAGCTGCATACAAGCGGCTCACTATTGGGGGGAGGGAAGTACTAGTCGGGTTGCTTTTGAGCTGACCTGACTTGATCCCTGACCCGATCCAGGAGAGGAGACACACACATCCAGAGACGGAGAGAGGAAGACACTGAGAAGACACTGAGAAGCCGAATACAAACCTGCCTGGCTCGGCTTGGGAATTGTCTCGACTGGATCTGCGTGGTAACGTAAATTAGAGGGGCGGCCGTCGTTCAACTTGTTGGTCGCCGTGAGCTTCCTTACCCCGTCGTTGGAATCTCGTAGGGATTCTTTCTGGAGAGCGGATTGGACTACTGATTGCCCTCTGGTTCGTTGGATCGCACCCGTCACATCGTCCGACTTCCCCGACTCAGACTCGACTGGACGCGACTCAACTCACACTCGCCTCGCCCGTTTTTCAGTCATCCCCTTCCCTCCCTTTTCTCTCGTCGTTTCAGTGATCATCCCGTTTTCCTTTCTTTTTCCTTTGCTTCCACAGTCTCTAGCCGTCGTCTCCTCGTGCCAATCACCTCAGACCGACTCAGGACTGGAGACTCGGCATAAGACATACTGCATGAGTCGTCAGCAATAGCAGCATCAATAGCAGCAACAAAGCCGGTAGCGCCTACAGCTGCCGCATCGCACCGTACCGCAGCGCGCAGCGCATCACACCAAGTATCTTGGCCGGGTGTTGGAAAGACAGTCAAGAGAGGCGCAGGAAAAGCCTCGTTGAGACCATCGAGTCGGCCAAACAAGACGTCAAAGTGTAGAACAAAGGAGCGCAAGCACAAGTGAGGCCATGTTCCAGCCTCAACCAACGCCTTTTGCGTTTCACGCCTCGGCACACAACCCATACTCTCACCCTCATCCCCACAATCATGGTCAAACATACATCCAAACTCAGGGCGGCCCGCCGCAGGACCACCCGTCTCAGAGCGGCGGAGGCTATAGCATCAGTACTGGCGCAGCAGGGTTGGCAGAAATGATGATGAGGAATGAAGAAGGAGGAAGAGGAGGAGGAGGAGGAGGAGCGAGAGGAAGAGGGGTAGGAAGAGTGGAGATGAGGATGAGGATGGGTATGGTGGGCGATGGTGGAGGAGGAGGAGGAGGTGCATCTCACGACGTCGGCGTTGATACAGGAATGGCGGGATCACATTACGGCTACTTGTCGTCAGCAAGAGAAGAGAGAGGATCCGGAAGCAGTCCTGTTTCTGGCAATGGCTCTGGTGCTGGTTCTGGTTCTGGCGGTCGAAGCCAAGGCCACAGTCCAGGTCAAGCTCGTGGCCAAGCTAGAGCTGTTGGAGCTGGCATGGGAGCGGGAGCTGGAGCTGGAGTGGGTTCATCGTCGGGTGCATCGTCGGTTGGACTGGACAGCATGGGTAACCCCCTGGTGATGGGCAGTGATGGTGGTGATGGTGGCGGCTGCGGCAGGCTAGGGCTGGGGATGGGACAGATGGGACAGATGGGCATGGGCATGGGCATGGGCAACTTGAATGGCATGGGTATGGGCCTGGGCCACAGTGGGCTGTCCCTGTCGGCGCAGTCACAGCCGCGGTCGCAATCACTGTCACAGTCCCTATCTGGTGTTATGGGGATGGGCGGGGAAGCTGCAGGCGCACACAGCCTGAATGCTGCGTCGCCGGCCGGACCTGGAACCTCGCTAATAACAGGAGCAGCAGCAGCACGACACCAGCAGCACCAGCACCAGCACGGGCATCAGCATCAATACCAACAGCGCCAACAGCAGTACCGCGGACAGCAGCAGCAGCTATCACAGCAAAGACAGCTAGTCTCAACAGCAGCAGCAGCAGCAGCAGCATCAGCAGGAGAGCCGCTGGCGACAACACCTATGGTTGGTCCCGGCCCGGGTGCCGGCCGGGCTCCAGCTGTCACCAGCACCACTCCCGCATCGCGTGCAGTTCAGGTTCAGGGTCAGAGTCAGGTTGCTGCACTGGCACATCATCATCATCAGCAGCAGCAGCAGCAGCAACAGTCTCTTTCATCTGCCTCCCCTCCTCCTTCACTACTTCCTCCAACCACCACCAACGCCAACGTTGTCTCTGGCGTTTCCGCCGTGGCTTCGGCTGCTACTTCTGCTGCCCACTTGCACCTTAACCACCATAACAGCCCCGGCGCTGCTTCTGCCTCCTCCTCCTCCGCGTCTTCTTCTTCTTCCTCCTCCTCCTCCTCCTCCCGCTCCCTCTCCCGCTCCTCCCACCCCCATTCCCAGTCTCATTCCCATTCCCACTCCCACTCCCATTCGTCCCACGGATACTCCCACGCCAACCTTTACTCCAACCACAACCACGGACACGTCCAGCAACAACACCCTCCTCCTCCTCATCCTCACCCCGGCCCATCTTCTTCGACAACATCCTCTTCTGCCTTTTACACCACCAACTCCAACGCCAACCCAGGCTTCACAAACGCCGCCGCCGCCGCCTCCGTCGTTCCTGATCACGCCCACACTCCAGCCCACGCCGTGAGCAGCACTCGTCGTCCTTCTGCCATGGAACCCGGCGACCCCTCCGACCTTGCCGCCCAAGAAGCCGCCGCTCGGGATTATCAGCCACAGCTCGAGGTGAGTTGCTCGCCACCCCGACTCCGGGAGACGCACGCCTAGCTCCCGTCGCCGAACCCCCCAAGCTTCGAGTGCTCTCTCTTTTCTCGCCCTCAACCCCAAGAATTGCACAAACCTGTTTGAGCATGTTCATTGAATGCAATGTTTCTCCATGTCGAAAGCTCCTGTCGAACCCGAATTCTTACTTGTCATCCACCCTACCACATGCAACGCTAACGTGGTTTACGCCCTTTTCTAGGGTTTATTGGTGGGCGACAAGATCACCAGCGACGCCATAACCGACGAGTACGCCAAGGCTGACGAAATCTATATCGCAAAGACCATCGTAAGTCCCATTCCAGCATTCCTTGCCCAAGGGATGCGTACTCCGCGCAGTATGCTGCACTGGCTAACGTAGTGCTTCTGCTCTTTCTTTTCACTTCAGAACCTTCCCCAGACATATTCTCACTATCGCCCCATTCAAGGTGACGGAAATTGCGGCTGGCGAGGTGAGTTTACCTTTCACGATCCTGGCCACCACCACCACTACCAATGTTTCCTTCTACCCCGCATCCCCGCCCCTCGACAGAGTGGAAGGCTCCTGGGAAATCACTGCCTTCAAGCACGCCACTCTTCAGTTCGACACATGTCGGTGCACATGTTCGTTGCTTGGAAGGGGGGACACTGCCTCACTTCAGCACTCAAAGCAAGTGGTAACTAACACTATCTCTCTCTAGCAATCGGCTTCTCCTACTTTGAGCATCTCATCAACAATGGCGACCAGCATCAGATCCTTGGCGAGGCCGCACGCATTACGAGCTTAAATCAGTATCTCCTCAACGTTGGCGGCTACGATCGGATGTTGTTTGAGGACATGGTGGAAGAGACGATCGGCTTGCTAAAAGATGTCGCCCAGAATATTGCCAACCCACAGCTGGCCATGGACATCATGGTCCAGCGCTTCAACGATCAGGGCTCCTCCAACGCCATCATCTACCACCTTCGTCTGTTGGCGCTCTCATGGCTCAAGGGAAATGTCGACCTCTACGAACCCTTTATCCCCGCCGAGACGGGTATCATCGGCTATTGCGCCGAAATCGAACGCCCAAACAGAGAGATTGACCATCTCGGTATCATTCTGCTTGTTCAGGTGCTGTTGAAGCCTATCAACTTCGTGCTGGAAATTGCATATCTCGATCGTAGCCCGGGAAACCAAGTCAACATTTACCGCTTTCCGGACGAAGCCAATGGTCAAGACCCAGCCACTCTGGGCCCCATCATCTACTTGCTCTACCGGCCCGATCACTACGACATTTTATACAAGTCGCCTCCGAACCCGGCACCCTTGACTCTTCAGGTTCACCGTGTTGGTTCCTTTTCTCACTCTCAAGAGATTGCGAGCGTGGGCCCCCCTTTGCACAGCTATTCTCTCGACTATGGCCCCTTGGCCATGCTGCCCGGATTCGGTGGCCCGCCCTCGGGCTTGTCTTCGGCTCTGTCTTCACTCGGCTCTCCCACATCCACATCTCCGCTCCCAGACGCCTATGACCCTTCACCTCAGTCTCCTTGGCTCACGACGCCGTACTCTGATCATCACATTCAGCAGCAGCAGCAGCAGCAGCAGCAGACGGCACCAGCCCCTCGACCACAGTCTCAAACGCCAGCTCGACCACAACAGTCGACGCCCGCCCCTACGAAGCCTTCGCAGCCCGTTGACTACCAGCTCAGATTTAGTCACCAGTGCTGGCATCTCAACAACACCAGCTCGACGCAACCATCAGTGATACCCGGCCAGGCAGGATTCCAAGAACCCAGCTTTACTACTGCAATGTTCAAAAACAGCCATTTTAACAAGGCGCACTATAATAATCCTCACTTTCATCCCGAGGAGTGGACTCCTGACGATGATGGCCACCACGAGCGGCTGCCGGCGCCCAAGAAGAAGGGAAGGGCCAGGTCGGATCACTAGGCCAGGCAATCACACAAACGATGGGACCACTGTACCATCAGCCAGTGGGCCAGGGATATGTTGAGAATTTGCCATGGTCCATGGGCATCAGGGGGCGGACCGCCACTGCGATTTCCAGGAGTGTAATGGAAGGCGACGGGGGGACAAGGTGGTGTTACCTTTTTTGGTGGTCTCTGGGGGCCCGCATTGTGGGAGAATTAAAACTTGCCTTGATTTGGCTCATTGTGATTTTAGTGTTTTGCTCTACGCAGATGGGAAAGGCATCATGATTTATGATGGAGGGCTTCATCTTCTTCACAGCTTTATTTGGCGGGAGGGTTCGCTCCTCGGGTTGATACTCATCATAGCATCGGCGTTGATAATTAATAGTACTCTCTAGTGCGCAAAAGTCTTCTGTCCTTTGCGGTCGTTTTGAGTGTCATACTTACTCTTGTACCATTGGAGGAGCGAGCTTGGATGGCAACTCCAAGGCAAAGAAAGGAGAATTTTTGCCTGCCGCGAGACCGGCTTTTACGTGGAAACGTGACGGTCGATCATTTACCGCTCCCTCTCCCCTTGCCCCTTCTATGGGAACAAATCTGCAACGTCGTTCCAAGGTGGTTGTTGTGGGTGTGTGCAAAGTTTGTATGTACAGCCCATGTGGGCTATCCAGGATCACCAACGTCTGCGTCTGCGGCTAACAAAGATTGCCACCTGGCACCCTTGACATCAAGCATGCGACGAACGCCCGTTGAACTTTTGACCTCTTTTTTTTTTTTTTTTCTTCCCTTCTCGGGTGCCATGGCGTCAAAAGGGTAAGATGTGAGGTGTGAGGTTGAGGTCCCACGGGGTGGTGGGGCTTGGCGCGGCACAAGGTATCATGGACTTTGCCCGGAGCATGGGACGGGTGGGCATTGCATTACATTGCATTGCATTTTGCAATTTGCAATACACTACCTATGCGAGAGGAAAAGTCGGAAAGAATGCAGTGGTGGAAATCCCGCAAAGAGTAGGAATTGGAGTCGGCTGTGATCTACCCCGTCTACCCAAGGTAGCTAGCTAGAAGTAAGTATCCGTAGTAAGGTACGGATACTCACTTCCCTTCTCCATCCATGTCTATCTACGCCCGTCTGCCTGTAAACCTCTGATGGATATGGGGGTCCGCTTCAATGGCCCTTTTTATGGAAGAAAAGCAACATCCTATGGGGTTTGGCCATGCCACCACGACCCCTCTCCTCGTCCGTCCCCCGTCCGTCCCCGGTATACTCCGGAGCAAACGTTACGGGAAGATGTGCGAGGCAGCTTGACAAAGTGCGAGTTGCCAAGGCTTTCGTTACGGGCGATATCGATATGGCAATCTACCACCAGTAATGGTTGTAGAGACCCCGATAGCAGTGACACATCGTATTCGTGACATGCAATGCCGACATACCTACCTTACTTTGCCCCCCGGTCTGCAGACGTGATGAAAAATGCTTCGCCACACAAGACCAGGAGGTCGTCCTGGCTTGGCTGGCTAGAATTTGAGATGCCAAGATACCAAAAAAGGTGTTTGCTGATGAAAATGGGGTATCATAATTGACAATGTGCGATGAGGTAGCCTCGTCCCCCCCCCCCCGGGACTGCACCGGAAATAATCAAGTTCCCAGCGAGCCGGAACTTGATACATTATACACTCTGTTGTTTTTTTTTTTCGGAAATAAGGTGAGGATGCATAAGGGTATGTTGACCCGGACCGACCACGGGATGCGCGTTTGTCCTCAACACGTGCCGTTCATGGTAAACGGTCCGGTCAAATGCTGGCTGCTCCGACATCCAAAGGAGGGGATCAGAACTTGATAGCTAACGAGAAGAGGGAAAGAGGCAGGCAAAGGTACATGTTGTGTAACCCGTGATGCACTCCAGTCACAAGCAATCTCGTCTCTGGCGGCCGGCTTATCCATGAACCAGTACCGGTGCGCTACTCATAGAAAGATGGCAAAGTGGCCCATTGGGGCAGGTCTCAATAATACAATCATCCAAGTCGTTGATGTACTGTCGTCGGCGCAATGCCGACCCCAAGGCGCTTTGCAAGCTCCTCAGCCCACCGGCGAGCATACCATTCTCTCTTCGCCTTGCCATCGCCAGCGAGACTCAATTGCCTCCAGTGAACCTCTCCCACTTCGGCTCGTACACTGGTGGCGGTTTTACCTTCGAGTCCGCACGGCACGAACCTCGCCCAAGGATTCAATGCCTCGTCACCGTCGACGACAACGTCGACGTTCAGCGCCGTGCCGAGCCCCGAGATGTGACGGCGGAGGTGAACGCCCATGGCTGCAATCTTGCGTTCCTGTCCTCCTGTCCGCTGCCTTGCCGATTCAGCCCATACCCCCGGCTCGTCCTCGGAGAGGTAAGTCTGGATCCCGGGTCCATCGGCGAGGATCGCTTGCGTCGTCTCCTCTAGAAGTCGCGCGTAGGATCGGACGGTCAAATGGGGATAGTATCTACTGTGCAAGTCCAATATCGGCCACAGAACTACCTGCCCAGGCCCGTGATATGTTGTCAATCCACCGCGATCTGTCTCAATGACTTTGGGCGTGAACTGCTGCTCTCGTAGACCTGTTCCGCCGTTTTGTTCCCCTGCCTTAGCCTTCTTCTCGTCGATGATAGTCAAAGGCTGTTGGAGTCGGTCCAGTTGCTCGGGTAGTAAAGTCTTTTGGCGGCGGCCGAGCGTATACGTTGGTGCCGGAGTGAAAGATACGACGAGTGGTGACGGAGCGCGGGAGTCCGGGGCCGATTTCCAGTCGAGGAAGGCCTGGCGTAAGGCACTTTGAAACTCTGAAGCAGAGTCATACGACGGGAATTCGTTCGATTCAGAGCCGGCGAGGTGAATATGTCGCAATGCGCTCGGTTCGACGCCCTCGTCTTCAGCGAAGACCAACTTCGAGATTGGCGTTGAGGAGCTCCATCTTGCCTGTCGCAAGACTATACCAGGTATTTGACTCGCTGCCGGAGTGAGGCTTGGGGTATGGAACGTACAAATCCGGTGTGCGGCTCGAAGGGTCCCCATCGGCTCACGTGTTGTCGGAGGTTGCTGTAGACTTGAACGGAGTGTGTCGACGAAGACGGTGGCTGAGATGAAGTTCTACGCAAGCTGCCCGGAGCTTGAACAAAGTTTAGCGGAACGAGCCGGCTGGGACTGTCATCGGTACGTAACGCATCGATAAAGTTAGGTTGTTGGTCAACGCACGGGCCACCTCAAACTTGGTGTCGGATACCTTCTAGGCGTAGGGTTCATGATCTTCCGAAACCTCCGGCCTGTCACATCCAGTTCGTTTCCACCTCATTTGAGGGCAATCGTTATCGATAAGGTGCGGCCTCTGTCCTGGAAGCTTCACATGAACTGTTACGTCGTCAAGCTCATTCAGCTCATCAGTACGCTCGTGATACAGTGGGTGTGCATGCAAAATTGCCTCAAGGCCCCTCGGTATGTTTGTGGCTTCATTGCGGGCTCATTACGAGTCGTCATTCCGTCATCTGTTAAAGGTAGGTAGGTCTTGTCAGCTCGTGTCCGCGCTGCCTGTGCGTGCCATGAGGCATCCAAGACACGATGCCGTAACTTCCTTGAGACGGTGAGACACTTGTGTGTTTTTCCATAACTCCATGCCTTAATGACGGCTTTCCCTCTCCTTGTAAAGCATGATGCCTATTGTCCGTCGAGCTCTAGCCTACACATCAGGACCAGCTGGACTAGGTTCGCTTCCTTTCAGCTGTGATACCGTCACCAAGCTCTCCATGATGATGACATTGAGATGCCTTGTTAAGCTGAGAAGATGTTTCGTATGGAGCTCGTCGGTAGTCTGGTAGTGTGCCGAGCCGACGCCGGCGTACGACCAAGTGGGGTTACCGGATGCACCGAGTCGATCTGGCGCCGATGGTCTCCAGAGCACGGCGGACAAGCCAGGTGTTTCCTATTTGTCACTTACAAAGGAACTTGGAAACGAGAAGCCTTCTAAGCTGGGACCCAATAGCGACGAGAATCGAAACCGAAGTCGAAGTAGGTAGCAGTGCATCTGTCAAGCTGCGAAGGAGAAGTCAGAGTGCCCGTCCCATCCGGCGGGTGACGTGAGAGCACACAAGCTAAGCCTCTCTGTGTGCGAGCTGGTGGGTAGAATATTCGCAGCACGGCATCTGAGCCACAGTAGTACACATCACCTTGGTCCAGGCCACGCAAGGTATGAAAGACAACAGAGCCATCCCGATATGATGCCGTCGAATCTTGCGAAGTCAGGTGGGTAGTGGTTCAAATATCGAGATGCAGACAACCCCTTACACGTTGGACACTCTGCGAGCTGCGCCAGACGCGCAACTCTCGGAAAGCTGGTCAAGGATGACGGAAGCAGGGTGCTCTAACTCGGCATGCAGGGTGCTGCTGGACGGACAAAGACCCTGCATCTAGCAGTCGGAGGAGACGAGCCACTCGACTCTCGACTCGAGCGACTCGAGGAACAACATCCGGCGTTTCGTCCCATGGTGTTGACAATAGAATAGGTATCAGTATTTCCAGGCAAGGGGCGAGCAGTTGTCCGGGTCCAGCCGTCCGCTCCGGCATGCCGCATGTGAGGTTTCCATCGGATGTGTGGAAGTTCAGCAGACGTTGGGCCGAAGCACCAGACGAAGCAGCTGCAGCCATGTGCTTCTCATCCGAACGGAAACAGAACCTGTAGGGATCCTGTAAGGATACTTCGTACGGAATACCGACATACAACTTGACAGTGCCAGGCCTTATTTGGACGAAGCATCCGAGTGGAGGATTGCCAGCCTTGTTCTGAGCTTCAAGAGGATTAGCGTTTTGACGATCACGACCGAAGGTAACGAAGGAGCCCTGAAGATGCAAGCAGCCAGCGAGGGGTCAGAGTGCGAGGAACTGAATCGTGACGAACGATCTGGTTGGCCCGGTGCGTGAAGCAAGAAAAAAGCCAGGGGAGGGGGGGAGAAGCTGGAAGAGGATGATGGATGACGTCGTGGCAGGGTAAGGGCTGGGCCGAGGAAGGTCCCTGCGCTGGCAGTGGGTGACTGGCGTGCGCGACGAATCACAGTGGCTCAGGAGAACCAGGCGCTAGGGGATGGCCCAGCGCTGTTGCTCAGCAAGGTCTTGGTTAACTACCGGTCCCGTCTACTGTGTGCGACTGGCGATTGACTGTACGTCGTTGGTTGCAAACCCAGATGTATAGGTACAGTCCGTCTGATATCTTGCACGGTCAGGCGGATCCCGGCAGTGGCCCGGTGGTGTCGTCATGGCCCACTCGACGCATGCGCTGTTCAGCAGGTGGGCAGCGACCAACACCGAGCCCAACTCCACGAGCAGCAAGCTTAGCTACTGCTTCCTTCCCATCCAAGGCTCCATGCAACTCCAAGCAGCCAAAAGTCGCAGGAGCTATACTCAGTCGGGGCCTCACCTTACTGCAAGCCCGGGGGGCTCCTTCTCTCCCCGCTAGTTTGGCTTCGTACCCTGGTACCTACCTGAAGTACCTTACTTCGTACACACAGTCCCAAGCTTAGGTTGGTTTGGCGTCGGCTGTCTGAAATTCTGAAATTGGTTTGCATCATCTGATTGCACGCCCGTCATCCAATTCTTTATTCTTCACAACTCCCTGCCAGGCCCCGACCTACTGATATCCTCATCTCCTCTGCCAGCTCAGTTTCTACATAGTAGAAACACTAATCCAGCACTCCCACCAGCCTTGATCCAATCTCGGTCCGCCTGTGAGCCTTACAGAACCAACAAGTCGGTCAAACGAATCATCCAGACGGCGAGAGACATCGATAACCCCGGCACCCCTACCTCTACCCTTCCTATAGTTCCCTCCAAGCTATTACTGCCGGGTCTTGAACAAGGGTCAGAAGCAAACAGAAAACAACCCCAGAAACATAAACCAGAGACAACCCGCCTCAGCCTGTCATAGCTCCCTCGCTCCTCTGAAACATTTTTTTGCGAATCCGGTGAGTTTCCCATTGCTTGTCATCAACACCATACCTACCCAGTAGCCTGCTTCCCCCCAAGTGACGAGTCTGAGATTGCGACTGTGTACACACCCGTACGCCATCTACTTTGCCCTTCCCTGGCCAAATTCATCACTTCTCCATTACCTTGCATTCCTGCGCAATCCCGGCTACCCAAACAAGAACACAATTGCTGAGTACAAATCCCTACAGGTCTCCGCCGACCCTCTCCTCCCAGCCATCGCAAAGAATCGCAAAGAATCGCAAACACCACCCTTCGGAGATCAAAAAAAGGCAATCCCACACACAGCCAACCTGAATCGCAGCAATGGTTAAACGTGAGTCCTCTATCCTTGTTCCGCCCTTGCGCCGCGAAACATGCTCTCAGATCCCAAACTGCAGACTGACACAACATCATTCCAGACGCTCCGCTCGGCACTGCTGCCATCGTCTTCCTCTCAGGTTCCATCGTCCTGCTGCTCTTCGTCATTCTCTCTGCTGTCCGCGACGCCGCGCCCCTCAACAACACTTATTTCCTCGCGGCCGACACCACCGGTATCACCGGCGCACGCAACGGATTGACGCGATGGAACTACTTTTATTACTGCAATGACCAGAACGCAGAATGCTGGGGTGCATGGCCTGCCCCGGCCTTTGGCTGGGCTTGGGGCCGTGATGCGGCCAACGTTCCCGCCGGCCTCTCTGGTAGCCACGGAGGCGGCACCACCAGCACCGAGTACTTCTACATGTGGCGCTTCGGCTGGGTCATGTACCTGATTGCCCTCTTCTTCATGGCCCTTGCCTGGTTCGCCAGCTTCCTCGCCTGCTGCGGTCGTCTCGGCGCCGCTGTCGCCGGCCTGGTCTCCGCCTCGGCCCTCTTCTTTCTGACTGTTGCCGCCGCCCTGATGACGTACGTGCCGCCGTTCTTCATCGTCTCATTCTGTTCTCAGTGACTGACATTTCTCAATAGCGCAACATTCGTCAAGGCTCGCAACGCTTTCCAGGCCGAAGGTCGTGAGGCCCACATTGGCACCTACGCCTTCGGCTTCACCTGGGGAGCCTGGGCTGCTCTTCTCATTGCGACCCTCCTGTTCTGCATCGGCATCCGCGGCGACAAGGGCTACTCTGGAGGCAGCCGCTTCAGCCGCAAGCGCAGCACTCGTAGCCGCCAATCGTTCGACGTCAACAGCAGCCGCCGCGTCAAGGAGGACTACGCATAAGTCAGCTGTTGGCATTACAACGAAGGAGCACCACGAATTTACTCGCAATACTTCCTACTTTTGGGGAGTTCCAAAGTGTGAGAGATGTTGTATTAATGATATGCCCATCGTGTGTGTTGTATTTACGCGTCCATGTTATTTTGTTTCTGCATTTCGCTGGCGTTTTGGAAGAGCCACATGTAACCATGAGGTCTTCCCGAGATGGACTGATGCTTAGTCTCATGCTCATGGTCTTGGAGTTATGCGTCTACTAGTACCCGGCTCCGACATATACCACTCTTTAGGTCTACTTTAAACTAATAGACTAATATCGTAAAATTGTGTCGCTCCAGACGGTGTGTCTTGTAGTTTTTGATGTTTTATCGCCCGACTGTGAGAATTACTAATCTGCCAATGCGAGAGACACGCGACTCTAAACATCGGGCCATCATACGCTGTAGTAAATACTGAGTGAAAGAGTGTGTCATGTTCTTGGTTCTGTCACGCGTACTATCCCAATTACAAACGACGCAGCTAATTTTATGTGTAAGAGGTTGTCCTCAGAGGCTTGTATACTTTCAAGACTGGGCTTTTCTGAATCAAGGCTCTGCATTCGTTCCTTCATTATTTTAAAAAACAGAATTTAAAATAAAAAAAAAATTGGTATACCCAAAAAGGGCCAAAAGGGGGCCTTGCCTACCACCAGCTTTGCTCATATGGATCATGCCTTATCCCTACTACTCCTTGTCTACATGCCAAATCGGACCACACGTACACACATACACAACACATACACACACAAAAGTTTTCGTCGATTACATCTCAAAAGTCTCTTAGTACCTCAGTTGCCTTTTTGTCATCTTGGAGTTCTTCTTTCTTTCTGTCTCGTGTCATGCCACCCAAACCATCCGTCGTATATGCTCCTTTCATCGTGAATACTCCCACACCCAATGACCCATCATGACCATCAATCCGTGATTCAAGGAAAAGGGAGAGTGGCAAAATTGCCAACCAAGAAAGAGAAACGCCATCCGTGTCGTATACTGGACGTTTTCAAAAAGGCTGTGGAGCCTACCACTCAACGCAAGAAGCAACGCAGAAAAACCCACCCCAATTGTCGAAAACAAACACTCCTTGCCAACCAGTAGTATATGCTGATGATGCAATGTAGAAATACTTGGATTGAGGGTATGAGACAAAGCAAATAAAGAAGAAAAGTGCAAGGGGCCGAACAAAGAAGACCAACGGAGGCCAGCTCGGTCAGCATGGGAAATTTAATGTCATCAACCTCCCCCACCGACGACGTGGCCTCGGCCTTTTTTTCTCTCTCAATAATGCCTATTCAAGCATACCACCAGCTCCGACCACAGGGCTCGCAGTCGGGGACTGTAACGGAGCAGCGTGCAGGGCCGGTTTGGCGGCCGGAGCGATAAGACCTGCGCGCTTCCGCTCCAACACCGACTTGACCCAGTTCGCAACTTCTTCATCCTCGGTGCCAGACGAGAGGGAGAGCTTGCCGACAGCATCTGCTACAGCCTCAGCCTCCTCTCCCTCTTCTGCTTCCTCGGTAATCGTCTCAATCTTGGAAAAGGGTGTCATCCAAGGGTGTTGGAGCAGCGCCGCATAGGTAGGACGATCCTTCGGAATCTTGTTGAGACACTTGCGGACGAAGTCGTGTGCGGTGCTGGAGTATCCTTCCTCAGGCAGGCCTGGGGGCTCTCCCTCGACAATAGCCTGTCACCACATTAGCTCGCCTCTCTCAACAGTGTTCAGTAGACTTACGCTCAGCTGGCTGAAAATCGTCGACGATACCTCCGGCGGGTAGGGGTATCGTCCCAGGGCACACTCGATGACTGTCAAACCGAGACTCCAGATATCGCTCTGCACGCTGTATGTGCCATCAGCGCCAGCTGTCATACCTCCTCCTGAGATACGTTCCGGGGCCATGTAACTCTGGCAACCAATGTTGGTTTTGGCGATACTCGCAACAAGGTTTCCACTGACACCAAAATCGCAAATCTTGACTTGGCCTCTAGTATTGGCCAGGATGTTGGTGGGTTTGACATCACGGTGAATGATGTTATGCTCGTCCTTCAAAGACTTGAGGCCCATGACCGTAGAGTATGTAATCTTTTGTAGCACGCCTTCGGGAATACCACCGTCGTACAGCTTGTCGATCGATCCACCATCCATGTGCTCAATGCACATGTAGACCGCACCTTCTTGGAAGAAGGCTCCATAAAAGTCAATGATGTAGGGCGATATACACTCGTGTAGAATGACGAGCTCCTTGAGAATGGTCGTGAACTTGGCCTCTTCCAGTTCTAACCGAATCTCCTTCATCGCCATCACCCTTCCGGTACCTTCAGTGGATGCCGAGACTGGTGATGACTCTATCGATGTATCGGCATGGCGGATGGGTGATGGGTCGGACTGTGACGAGTTCAACTTCGGGTTCTTGAAACCACCCAATCCAGATCCAAACCTTGGTACTCTAGGCTTTGTATGCCTCACTTTGTAGACGGTACCATAGTTACCCTTGCCAAGCTCGTCCAAGATCTCCACTTCGTCTAGCGAAATGGTAAAAGCTGTGCCATTGGCAAAGTTGACACCGTTCTTAGTGATAGTTGCAGCACCGTCGAACGTGATCCACCCCTTCTCCGAGTCAATGTATTTTTTGAACTCGTCCATCTTGGATCCAGTCGTTCCGTTGGGTGCACCGCTCCCATTATTCGAAGGGCCGTGGATATCAGACAACTTCGGCGCGGTCGGAGAGGCGGGCGAAGGACCACCGCCCATGTCGGAAAGCTTCATCATGGGTCCACGCCTGGCAGCAAGAGATGGCTTCGTTGGGATAACCGGGGCGGAGCGTGGCATACCACCAGGGGATGGGCGAACCAAACCACCAGGCAGCTTCAGCCCTCCAGGTATACCGCCAGGTAACCCTCCGGGAGAGCCTTGCCGTGGAACTGGAGATTGCGGCGAGCTCGCCATATTGTTGGGAGGAGGCTGTGAGCCAGCAGGCTTGCCCATGCGCTGAGCGTGAAGTGCCCTTGCCCTTGCCATGACTTCGTTCATGGCACCACCACCCATGCTCATCATGGAAGCGGTAGGAGGCGGACGGCGTGCGTTGCTCAGCATGCCCAAGGGTGTCGAGGACGGAGTCATATTTTGAGGATCGGAAACGGTGCGAAGCGACGGGAGACGTTTGGGTACTTCTGAAGGGGATTCCGAGGGGCCTTCGAGCGGGGTGCTGGCCTCGGAAGAGTCGGCGGAACCGGGCGACGTAGGACTACCCAGTCCGTCTCTATCGCCAACGTAGCCATCGGGGGTGGCAGGCATGGAGTCTGGAGTATTTAGGTCCGTCATTGCGAGATGCGAATTGACCTTGGCGGCGACCTGATGCTATCGATGGTCGATGGGAGAGGGTGGGGGAGTGAGTCGACCGTAGGTAATGTCTCGGATGACCCTATAGCATGTGCGGCAGGTGATGGACCGGGACGGTAGGGTGCGGGAGGACAAAAGTCGGGCACGCGATAGATATCGAAATATCGTCAAGTCCGGTCGCACGCGGGGTGCTAGGGAGACAGGAGGGTCGATCGCACAAAGGTAAGCGGTGGCAGAGGATCGAAAACTCGAGGGTTGTAGCGAAATGCTGCCGCGGGGTCTAGACGCGGCGGTTTTGGTAGTGTGGCCTGCTGCGCAGTCGGGTCGGGGTTGCGACCGGGGCGGTGGCAAGGGCAAACTCTAAGTCGGGAAATGGCAGAGAATGCGCGGGCGGGCTAGGCCGGCCAGTCCGATTTTGTTGAGCTGTAGCGGTCGTCTGATGATTTACTGGCCTGTGAGTCCAATGTCCAATGCTGAGCAAAGGAGTAGGGAGAGGAGAGACGGATGGTGAAAGAGAGAGAGAGAGAGGTTATGGAGAGTGATGGGGCGAGAAGAGTGACGGAGTGAGGGTGATGACAGAGAAGAAGAGAATATGCGAGGGTGGGTGCGGCGTTTAAGGGGAGAGAGATGAGGGAGACTGAGGTATGGTAAAAGAGAGCAGGATGGAAAGGTATTGAGAAGAAAGGTAAGGTAGGCAAAGCGAGGTACGGATAGAAAGGCCGACATATGATGTCCTCGTTAGACCTTCTCTGTCTGTTTTGCTCGATTCGAGAACCCAAAAAGAGGTTGGCGGCGGGGCATGAATTAGACGAGGGAAAATGGGTTCGAAGTCGCAACGCAATTTTGGTGCAAACGTCACAAATGCAGCGCAGCCTGGAAGTACCTTGGCTGTCTGTCATCGAGTAGGGGTACATGAGACCATCTGCGACGACCTACGCAGTATACGCAGTAACCTTAGTCACTCCTCCACTGGCTAAAGAGAGCACCTCAGCAGTGAGGTGGGTGACTCGGGAGAAATTCCAGGCGGGGGGGATTACGGAGTGAGGTAAGGTACATGGACGTGCCTGTCAGGACTCAAGAACTGGGCAGACGATGGAGCAGACAGCAAGGTATCTGCTCCATCATTCAAGTACCTGTACCTGCCATCCACTGTGGATGCACCATGCACTTGTACTCAACCAGCAAGGTCGACGTCTGCCCCGGTGCCTGCCTCTAAGCAGTATCGAGCAGAATTGCGGAAGAAAGAGAAGAAAGAGAAGAAAACCAAAGGGCATGAATGCACCGCTTGATGGGAGAGAGTGAACTGGAATTGGACGGGGTCGGGAAGTTGAGGAAACTTGAGGCTCACCAAGTAACCAATCTCTGGTGAGATCTAGAGACTGAACTGCAGAGGATGTTCGGTATCCAATGTCGAATTCCTTAGTGCTCTGCGCGTGTTATGTATAGGGCGTCCGTCTGTGTGCATGAAAGAGGCCAAGTGATGGGCGAGTTCAGATGGGAAGAGGGGGGCGAACTAGTAGAGCATATATAGAATCTACCAATCTATTAGTCGTTGAAAGATAGAGTTGCACGCTGCAGCAGGGCAGAAATAGTCGAAAGATATGTGGGATGGGTCAAGATGAACGAGGAAAAAAAAAAAGGAAAAAAAAAAGGCAAAGAGGGCACTTTGGGCGTCAACGTCCAGGTTGTGGCTGTTAAGATTGACGTTGACGTTGACTTCCATTCTGTTCGTTACGGTACCAAGATGGAAGACCCAGGATGCAGTCTCCGTAAAGCGCGGTTCAAACTCCGTATTCCGTAAAGATACCTTACATCAATAGTAGTCTCACACCGGGCATTATTGACGGTACGTATGCCCAGAGACACTCAATTCCCGTACCTTGGGAAAGTATCTCAGCCGCATCCAGTTAATGATAGCAAAGCAGGTAGGTACACCCCAATGTGCCGGAACGTGTTCTTCCTGTCTTGCCTTATTGCCCACTCAACAAGGTACATTGGTACCAGAAACTCACGAAGAAAGAGGCAGGAGAGGCTCGTCGTGTCATCCACAATCAGGTCAGGTAGCAAGAACCATTCCGATTCCATGCTGTTCTTCTTCGGTGGGACCTGACTGACGGCTGCTCGGCAGTCCAGACTTCAATGTTGGTCGGTCAATAACACTCAATAATCTGAGAGTCTAAAGGGAGAAGATCCCTGTCTTGGCTTTACAACTACAGACACCAGGCAAGGTCAGGGAAGGCAGCTTGGGCAGATGCGCCGCAAAAAGAAACAAAAACCACATATCAAGCCTTTCCGGTGTGCAACAGCAGCGCAACAACAAGTTCTCCCTCAAGCCTCACAGCACCTCACTCCCGAATCCCAAGAATGAAGATGAAGGAAATGCGCCCATCCATCCGCCCTGCCCTGGACGATATGCACATCCGCATATGCAGCGCCTGTCCCTTGGAGAGCACCGCCACCTGCATCACCGCCCAGGCTAACCAACTTCCTCCCGGCTTCTTCCAGGGCATTGCGCATCCAGTGACAGCGGTCCACTCCAATCGTTTCCCAAGAGCTACCCACGCATCGTCAGTCAGATCTCACCATTGCGACTACCTACCGTACACTGCACCAAACAATGAGATGTCCTGCGTCTACGACGGCAACCAGCAGCCACCCAGACACTTGTGTGGCTCGGCTGTCGCAAGGGGACCAGGAACATGGAGCCATTCGAATGCCCTCCCCCCCCCCAAGCACGCTCTGTGGCTCTTCAGTGATCATAGCAGGGGACCATCAGCAAGATTTTTCCGCACATCACCTCACGACGATGGACGCGCCTGCATATGGGCTCCATGCATTATGCTCCATTTGCAGAGGATACTCGCTCCAGTGACGGGAATGACTGAGCTAGCTTCTGTACATCAAGAGTGAGAATCACAGCGCTCATCTCTCCTTGCGGAAACCTGCTAACTTCGTCGCGATGTTTCTGAAAATAGCACATGCAACGGCCAGAGTGATGTAACTCGCAGCTCAGAACCGAGCCGGTCTACAGACCCCTACCTCAACCAAGCGATAGTAGTCACCAAACAGACGAAACCCAGACACAAGTAACGGACGACTAGACTGTTTCTGTCTTACACCGCAACAACAGCTGCTTTTTTTTTTCTCGACACCTCTCACGATCCGGCCCCCACAAACATAGCACATTACATAGGGACGAATCGGACATGACTTCTGGCGCCCGGCGGAGAGCTTGCCTGTTGAAGGCAAAGCAAACGTTTGGTGCAGGCGGCACCGTCATGCGGTCGAAGCACCCGCCAGGAAGGACGACGACGGGCAGTCTAAGATGAAAGCTACATATTCCCCCGTTGACGCTAGTCTCTTAGACCGCAAAGTACCGTGCCGAACCAGCGGCCATCTGAATTTGCGCATGGCATCCTCGACCTCGGCGACCAATCATCGAGCCGTCTTGACAGAAGCCCTTCGAAAGGGCAGGACTAGGCTCTGTTCTGCGCTGGGTAGGTCTCTGTTGGAGAATGGAGATTGGAGAATGCTTGCCTTTGACAACTTTTGATAGTGAGGGGCCCCTCAGCGCCAGTGTCGACCAGACCCCGGCCACTGATCCTAGCCCCCTCTTCCGACGTCTGGCAATTCGCCAATTTGCTATGGAGTCGTCACTGAGGAGTGATGACGTTGATGGAGCAAGAGGGGAGTTCCACGGGTTGTAGAGAGCAACGCCAACTGTCGCAGACTGAGGAAACTTGTGGCTGGAAGCTTTGAACGGACGAGCGTGATTTCCCGCAAGAGGCTCACTACACTCGCGCTACTGACTACCTAGCCTGTACAGTGTCTCCTGGTGAGGTTCAACACCCACCGCAACTCTTCGTCGTTGAAGCACATCTCCCCATCGCGGATTGGGGATGGGCAGGTCACAGTATGCATGGTTTGCAGGCTGCTAATCTCGAAAAGTCTAGGATTGTAGACGATACCATCAGATGATATTCCCAAAGCGAGAGAAGGTCGAAATGGGCTTTGCATCATCGCTATGCACTGGGGACTAGGAGTTCATGGAAGAAACGGCATGCCAGAAGGATGATTTCCCATCGACTGATGACGTTTTCTCCCGTCGTCCAGAATATATGCGTACGGTACGTACATTTGGTGAGGCACTAGGTTTCCTCCAGGTCAATGGATACCTAGAACAGGGCAGCTCAGGAAAAGCTGCCCGCCCTTCAACGCCTTATCTTATCAGCCCACCAGCGGACAATTACCTCCGCCTGACATCATCAAGGTACGAAATTCCTCTCTGCATTCTGTCCAATCGCAGTTCGAGCGGAACCTTACCCGCGTCTATGCGATTCGCTGACGTCTTCATGCTGCAATTCAATAGCCAGGTACCTATATACCTCAACTGTTTAGGTAAGGCGTCGATGGTCGGAACGGTTGAGCATCTCGAAACCAACAAGACTTGGGCGGGCGTGATCGCGAAAACACAAGATACCAGCGAGCAAAATCCCATGACCCGATCTGCGGGATCTGGAATACGGTATCTAGAATACGGTAAGCGAAAAAAGAATCCAGACTCTGGGCACGTTTCCTGATCTCATCCACAGCCGCCACTCGCTACGGCCTACCCGCGATCATCGCCTCACAGCCCCCCGGGGAAAATATGCAGTTTCAAAGTCTAACGGTTCACGCAGTGGAAAGTAATCCAAGGGTCCTCTGACTCTTTAGTGTTTTGATGCCCCGATGCCCAAGGGAAAATGTCACCCTCCAAAAAGATCTGCCTCTTGAGGGGACACAGCCGAAGAGCCAGCGATGGACGCCGCACACGCCGGGCCAATCCCGTTGCGCAGTCCACCGGAGCTCTCGCCGATGGTCGTCAACAGTGGCAAATGCTGTCAAAACAGAGTATCCCATGGTAAATTGTAGTTCAGCTCACCAGGGGAGGCCCTGTAGAGTCAAGGAGAAGCGTAAACTCAATGGCAAGCGGCCTCCGAGATGTTGCAATTGCCGACCGTATCTCCTATCAACTCCACCTCTTCTGATCCTTTCTACGAAAATTTGTAATAGTCTTGTTGAGGTTGTTGACTTTGTCGATATCTAAACCGGGGGAGAGCAGAGTGAAAAGGATGAACCTCTGTCGTCATCAGCCACATGGTTTCGCCACCTGCACTCTGCTCATCCGTTGTGCCACAAGCAACCACAAGCACCACAGAGATCATCCTCGATTCTCCACATCTGTCATCTGTTTCACTTTGATGTCTTGTCCGGTCTTGTCCAGTGTGACTCTTCTTCCCCCACGCCGCTTGTCGATCACCTCTTTTAGTGCAAGTGTGTGTAAGCTCCTGAGCTCTGCTGACAGCTCTGATAAATCTCGATGTCAAACAACACCGTAATGTTACGCATCTCAGGCGCATGGTGGGATGCTGATTGATATCATGCATCTGATTTTGTGTATATCACTTGTTCATCAGATCCTTTCGAGCTACGTAGCCGAAGATCTGGTGGTTAATGTAATGCGAATTGTAGACGTACTTCTTCTTCATCATACAAGTAACATGTCCATTACGTCAAGGTCACTTGCTATCACGTGATGAGACATCGAAACATCAACCATAAGCATGATATCACGATTATTTTTTGTTTTTGTTTTTTGTTCTATTGCGAGAGAAATCCCAGTGCAGGCGGCATCGAGGTCTTGATAATGACTTTGCTATGCCATCTATAGATTTTGGGAGGTTCTTTTCGATCCATACGTTGCGTACTAGTAATAGGGATTGTTAACGCACAGTAAATGAAGTGGTATGCATTTGAAAATTATAGATGGCGTCTGCTGCAAATAGGTCCAACTACGTCAGCCAATGATGTTTCACTCATCTCTCTCGACTCGGTGCACAAGTCTCCAGACTGACACCCGTGATCTATGAGCTACCTTTCACGACGTGGAAATAAGTGGACGAGGATAATCACGTTCCCCGTAGACGAACTCTTTATTGAGATGCTGAGCACTCGAAATGGCCACGGCACCCGAAGTTGAAGAGTAGTCACCGGTCTGTTTGTTGCCATGCCATGTATCGGATACCTCGCTCTGCGAGTCTCGATGTACTTCGGCCACTGGGGAACGTATCGGTGTACCTGGAAGAGGCTTAAGTGAGGAGTCTTGGATAGGCCTCCCGTCAACCAACGGAAGAAGGAGCTGAACATGAACATGAGGCATCCCGGGTAGGCAGCCGGCGCGGTCGTACATGGTCGGTGCTGTGAGCAAGGCACACTGTTCACCCAATAGCTACCTTGCTAGGAGCATTTGATTACGGTCTTAGATTGAGAAGTGATTCGTTATATGGATGTCTTCATTGTTGCCCCTTTCAGGTATTGGTATCTACTATCTGCGGCCCTGCCAGCATCCCAACCAAATCCACTCTACGATGCTGATTACCAGGAGCTTCTCTGTCTTTCTATTCAACTGCCAGCATCCGATTGTGGATTACTGACCGGACCGCCGCCATTGGGCAGGAGAAGCGATATCCCAAAGCTACGATACCGAATGGGAACGTCGGCAAACTTAACGACCGCAGCCAGAAACTGCCACATACATAGATCGCCTCTCAACGCCTATTTGATGTCAATAGTCTTCATATTTCTCTACGCAAAGGGGCAAGCCATCCGGAGCTGGCCTTCAGGAACTGGATGAACATCACACAAAAGAAACATCCGCTGATTGATGAAAATGGGTACTGGCCCTCGTTCTTTCTATGAAGATGCATGTAAGGGAGGAGGTCGTGATAATCTCGAAAGGGTTCTCGTCACCTAGATATTCAAATTAGTATATCGAGGCCGCGACGATGCGAAGGGGGTAGTACTGACTCCGTATGATGACGGTGAAGCTGTTGCCGCAGCTCAGGATGGCTGGTATCCGATCTTTCCTTTCCCTCCTTTCCTTCCGTCCACAATGTGAGTCTCAACGAGGTGGACCGGGCTTCTTCATGAGGACAAAGTCCTCCTCGACAACTTTGTCGTCCTTGGCCGGCGGGTCCTCATAGTAAGGGTCCCAGCAGTCGTCATACTCGTCATCGTCCGCAGTCTCGAGGGAGCTCGCGTGCTGAGGACGAGGCTTGATGATGCGACGAGGCTTCTCGTGCTGCTGCTGTGCGGTGGCAGAGCCGGCAACTTTGCCAGCAGGGCCAGCAATCTTGCTGCCCTCATTCTCGGCATTGGCCATCTGTTGAGTCCTCTCTTTTTTCTCCTCCTTCTTCTTCTGGTCGACAGCCTGGTTGGTCTTCATGTTGGGCTTGCTGTTAGTTGCGTTGCGGTATGTGATATAGCAGGTGTCTTGATTGAATTTGTATAGCAAGGTGAAGTTTCTTGAGAATAAATCTTGTTTCTTCGATGATCCTCGACGAGACAAGAAGGTGAGGACTCTCAAGGCTGCCCGGTTAAGCTCATTATCGTGGGCCTCAGGACGCCCTCTTGGGGCCATTGTAAGGGTTGTGTGTGAAAAAAGACATCTGCAGTAAACCCTCGCCACAAGAAGAGACCTACTGGATCGGGGGGACAAAAGCAACCGGCCTGCTGCCAGCGCTCTCTTCATCATTCGGAAGAGCCAGTCCCACGGCATTATGTCTAGGTGTTATCCGTGATGTACTCAATGATTTTGGACAATGACTTTGAAAGTTACCTGTCAACCTGAAGCTGCTGGTCCCGCTCACAAAGACACGAAAGTTGTGTGAAAGCCCGGAAAACAGTTGCCTTATTGCCACAAAACACTCGTCTGCCTGCTTCAAAGATTGCTGAGATGGACCCTGGACTTGACAGCTGAAAGAGCAGGAGGGAACTACGTGAGGACATCAGCACATCTATCTGCCGAGTGATCGCCTTCCAAAGTACCTGCAGGTAGGGGGCTTCGAGGAGATCGCAGAACCTGCCCATAGACATATTCGATACTCAAAGCACCATCACAGAAGAATCGGGAAAACTATAGTATCAAACATTCAAGCTGACCGAAATATCGACGATACCGCGCATGGTTGGAAGCAGCGGACAATGTGGCACATGTCTTGGCGATCTGATAACAAAGTCGTCCAAAGTGTAGCAGCCAAGTCGTTTCTGCATAGCCTCACGTTCTCTACTTGTGTTGAACCCGACTTGGCGCGGTGGAAGTCTGATCTTCCGGCTCGAGATATCTTTTCTCGTCATACATCTGACACGACTAGGTAATGGACCGAGAGCAGTGACCTGAATATGGTAGCTGTAGTCGAGAAGCAGAAGGCATTTACCTTGATGGAGCATCTATGCGTACGTTTAGTAAAGCTCAAAGCTACCGTTTCCATCATGGGCAAAGTTGACGAGAAACGGCGGGGTGATGGGAAATGCAACAGGCTCACTTCGGATGTGCATGCAAAATGGCGAGGTGGGAGGGCAAACGCAGCCGAGAGTTCCCTCCCTGAAGTCGCTGCGGACCGCGGCCACGAAGCTTAAGTTGCTAGCAAGACCCTTGAATAGTTGGGCTCCGAGGCAGCTTGGCGGCGGTATCGGGGCTAAATCTTAACCGCACAGCCCAGGGTACGGAAACTAACAGCGCAGACATGAGATGGCGAAGCAAGTAAGCTCTCGGCGATGGTGTCTGGGCAGCACTGTGGCTGATAAGGTATTCTTTTGCATCCCAAATCTTACTGTAGGGAAGAGGAACAGGCAAGATAGGTAGTCGTGTGTTGAGAAACAAGAACTGGGTTCCGCCGTGTGCTGAAAGGTCGGCTAACAGAGGTGAAGTTCCCAAAACGAACGTGTGCTTCGCAACCGCTGCAACCTGACGTACAGCTGGGTATCTGCGGAGCGCGGGAGACGATCTGATGTGTCTGTGGGTGCGGGTGTCTCTCGGAGAAGGATCGTCAAGTGTGGCATCCCATCCCGAATGGATACTCTTTACACTCCGTATGGATGGACTCACGGAGTACCATTCAGACAACGTCTTGGTAGGTATCCGTGCTGGGTGTAGAGTGTCGTGAATGTCTGGCGATGCAAGGTCGTGTGCCGATGTGCAACATTATCAGACAACGGATGAATCAAGAAAAGACGGGGGGGGGGGCGGAAAACCGGAATCGGTCAACGGCAGGGGATAGACTCCTAGAGCTAAGCAAGGGACAGGAGAGAGAAACGGTGGTGAGTGGATGGATTGAATGGCGGATTGCGTCGCAGTCGGAGGTGCTGCAGCAGGTAGGTAAGGTATCGGTAAGAAAGAAGGCCAAAGGCGAGGGGCCACGTCGGGTCCGTCATGTCAACGGGAGCTGGCGACGTCAGGGCAATTTCGATTTCGAATCGACGCCATTGCCAAGGCGCCGTGTAATACACTGCGCCTGTTGTGCCAAGAGCCTGTCGGTCAGTTGCTTGTTCTTGTGAGGCGCTTGCTACTGGGTGCAGATGCATGGTGTACTTCCTGTATCCTGTGTTGAACCGATTGGTGTTCTTTTTGCCACCAGGACACACAACGCGCGGCTGCCTCCCTCGAATATCTCTTATGGGTTCGCATGGTCTGTAAGAAATGGAAGAAGTCAAGTTGATGAACAACTTGATAGAGAGAATGGCAGTGCACAGATGGAAGGGAGGGGAGAAAGATGGGAACCTAAGCGCAAAATGGAGCAAGAATAGCCGGGGTGCCTTGCATGCAGAGTTTTGCGGGTTGGACGACCCAGCAGGAAGCAACAGGGTGGTGGCAGCTCAGTTTCGGCATGAATTGCTCACAGGCACAGGACGGAGACGTGCTCTTGCTGCTGTTGCTGCTGAAGCTGGGAGTCCAGCGTCATCGTGGGCCCATTCGCGCTTCTGATTGGGCGCCAAGTGTTTCTTAGCGGGAGGTGTCCGTTACCTTAGTGCCTTCCACTAAGGTACTGCGTACGCAGTGGATGGGTGGCTGCCAGTCACCCAGTGTGCCAGGTTGCGGCTTGTCACTGAGTGTGTTGCACATCCCCACTGGGGGGAGGTGTCAAGGTTGCGCCGCTGCACCATCTGCGTAACTGATACGGTCTGGTCTGAGAGTCAGCACCTTACCGGGCAAGAACAGGCAGTAAAAGTATCCGTAGCAGGCAAAAACGGCAAAAACGGAGGTGACGGATTCTGGGGCCGTTCCCAAACAGCGAGCTGTCGCGCTGAAGTGGCACACTGCGAGCCGCCCTCATCCCTGGAGACCTCAGCCTGGGCAGCCCAGTCCAGCCCAGCCCAGCCCAGTAGGTACGTCGCCATCGCCATTTTTTGCGCCGTGATTAGGTCGCCTCTACTACGTATTTTTCTTTCCTTTATCAATCTACCCACTCGGACCAACCTCATATCATCGTGCCTTCCCTTCTGTGGCTGACAACTCCCGGCCCCTCTGCCATCACCTTTACCTTTATTCTGCCCTTCCCTTCTTCCATCTTTTCCCCCTTCCACACCTTGTCCATCAACTTGATACCTGCACGTGCTTCCTTTCCTCAAAGACTTTCTCCCAATCGACGAGCAGCGACACCAATACACTAATACTACCTTCGCACTTCCTCATGTCTCCTACCGCCAGAGAATGAGAGCTTGGTCGCAAACTTCTGGAAAAGGCCGAACTCTACTGTGGAGGCCCGATACATACCACCGATAATTCCGACATCCAACGAAAACCCCGATCACCGACTTCATCACCGTACCTTACTCTTTCAGTTGCGATCCGTCCCATCGCCGACTATCCGAAACATTCACATCGTGCTGCTTGGGCCCGACTACAAGGTCAACGCGTCGCGCCAAGCCTCTTAAGAACCTTCCATCAGCTTTGGCCGCCCAGGACCTCCGTCCTGAAGCCCATTCTACCTCCGCCTTAACCTTCGTCCAACTTCGACATCCGCAGTCCCCGTCTCTGCGCTCTCTTTAATATCCACGGCCCAGAATGGACCAACAATACTTGACGTCGCCGACGTCGTTTCGACTGGCAGATATAGCTCAAAACGTATACGAAATGCCCCTCATGGCTATGAAGAAGCCTCACGATTCACACCCTTCCATGGGTAACTTGGTTTTGCTCGTCTTCGAGGCTGTCCTTGAGGTTGTTTGTGTGAGCTTGCCGGGCTACATCATTGCCCGTCTTGGCCACTTTGATGCTGAAAAGCAAAAGTTCTTGGCCAACCTCAATGTCATGCTGTTCACGCCATGCCTCAGTACGTCTATAATTCCACCTCGCCTGCACGATATTATCCTAGTAGCCTTACTAACAGTGTTCCTAAGTCTTTACCAAGTTGGCTTCGCAACTGAATGCTGACAAACTCCTCGATCTCGCCGTAATCCCCATAATCTTCATCATTCAGACTCTTGTCTCCTGGCTTGTCGCTACCGGCGTCGCCCGCGGCTTTGGCTTCAACCGCCGCGCTACTAACTTTGTCACGGCCATGGGAGTCTTCGGAAACTCAAACTCCCTGCCCATCTCCATGATCTTGTCCCTGTCGCAAACTATCAAGGGGCTACACTGGGACAAGATTCCTGGGGATAACGACGACGAGGTCGGTGCCCGTGGTATTCTATACCTCTTGATCTTTCAGCAGCTCGGTCAGTTGGTGCGCTGGAGCTGGGGCTACCACGTGCTGCTTGCTCCCAAGGACAAGTACCCCGAGTACCAGGACGAGCGCGTCGAGGAGGGACAATACCCGGGAGATCGCGAGACCGCCCCCCTGTTGAACGAGTACGATGATGGCACCGCTACTTCCCGCAGTCACTCGAGTGATGACCTGTCCAACTATGAGCCGGCCGGTCGCACCCCTGTTGCTAGCAGATCCAGAGCCTCTCCCGCCGATACCGAAGACGAGGACGACGACTACCTTCCCAAGAAGCCGATGAAGACCAACGGTCTCGCACCCCTCAATGGTAACCATCCCGTTTTCGACGGAAGTGGCGATGAGATATCGTCCTTTCCCCGCATTCGTAACACGGATGAACCCGAAATCCCCGAGGGAGTCAAGGGCTACCCTAGCCGCATTAAGAACGCCTTCAACAACACCGTTACCTCTGCTAAGCAATCGACATCAAACTTCTTTGCGAGAGTCTACAACAGTCTGCCGGCCCCCTTCAAGACAATTCTCTCGGCTCTGAGCCGCTTCGCCAGCAAGTTTTACAACTTCTTGTGGGAGTTCATGAACCCGCCTCTGTGGGCCATGCTCAGCGCCGTTGTTGTTGCGTCTGTTCCGGCCCTGCAGAAGATCTTTTTCGAGGAGGGATCCTTCATCAAGAACAGTTTCACGGATGCTGTTCAGTCCAGTGGCGGCGTCGCTGTGCCCTTAATCCTGGTTGTTCTTGGTGCCAACCTCGCTCGCAACACTCAAAAGAGCGAGAAGATGCGGGATCCTGAGGAGGACCAGATCGGAACCAAGCTCCTTGTCGCATCCTTGGTGTGCCGCATGCTCCTGCCGACTTTGATCATGACCCCTATCCTGGCCGTCTTCGCCAAGTATGTGCCAGTCAGCATTCTGGATGACCCCATCTTTGTCATCGTCTGCTTCTTGTTGACCGGCGCCCCGAGTGCTCTGCAACTGGCTCAGATTTGTCAAATCAACGAGGTCTACGAAAGTGTCATGTCGAGAATTCTCTTCCAGAGCTACGTCATCTGGTATGTAGCCAAATATGCCCGGACTTCATTCTCTGCAAATACTAACAAATATTGTAGGATTCTTCCATCAACCTTGGTGCTCGTCATGTGCGCTTTGGAGGTCGTGGAATGGGCTGCGTAAGGTCTGTGGTGTTTTTTTTTGTTCTGGAGGGCACAAGGCAATAGGCAATATAATGGTGCCGTTGATTTTCAACAGAAATGGTTGAGGCGTTCAGGTATCCTCAAGACACGGCGTGGCTCGGGGCAAAAGCAAAACATGAATTGGCCCTTTGCCATGTATTATTACAACACAAGCGGAATGGGATGTAGTGGGCTCCCGCATACTTGAGTCTGAGACAACAGGTTTTTGAGGGGATTTCTTTGCGTCATTGACGCTTAGCAATGTTACAGCGAGTGTACATAGTAGTAATAGGAATCTGGACATTGTCATGGAACTTACTCCTGATTATCTGTCTCCATACTGTCCCCTGAACATCATGTTCGATACTGATTGAATTCAATACAAACCACTCACTGCTATACCTTCCATCCTCATTTCGGACGCCCAATACCACGTAAGAACTATACTAGTAGGAGCAGGTCATCACCTCAAATAGACCTTGAACAGAACCAGGTCAGCAGCACCATGTTAGATGGATCCATTGCAATACGGCTGACCATTACGTTGAATCGATGCTGTTCAACCCTACCTGCCGCATCTAGATGCCTGTGTCAGGCAAGGTAAGTAAACGACTGAACCGCCATTGCCCGTTGACCGAACCCCACCGAAACGCGTGCCTTCCCGTCAGGTCCCCGCCAACTCGGTGTGGATCCACATGAGTCACGTGATCACACGTCAGTCCTGGCACGACAGGAAAGAGGATCGCGGTTTGCGACGCCTTGGCCAATTTTGCCATCCTGTCAACCGACATTTTGTCCCAAAACAAGCAACCATGGCGTCCCGCACGAGATCCCTCTCTCGCGACCGCTACCGCGATCATTCTCGATCATTGACACCGCTGTCAGACCGGTCTCGCTCCCCAGTCCGTCGCCATACGTACGATTCGCGATCTCCGTCGCGTTCCAGATCTCCCACGCCGCGACGGAATGGCAGACAGAGAAGCGAAAGCCGCAGCCGGAGCCGTGGAAGGAGCGCCAGTCCTGCCATCAGAAGCACCAAGGTAAACTTGCATTCGTGCCCTGATAATCGCTCGCGCTGTCATATTTCAAGCTGCTGACTCTGCGTTGGATTAGGTTGTTGTCGAGCGATTGACCAAGAATATCAATGAAGCCCATTTGGAGGAGATCTTTGGCCAATTTGGACACATCAAGGATCTTGACCTGCCCATTAATAGAACTCGTCAGTATCTGTCCTCACAGGGTCGACCTGACCGGCCCCCGAATGGATCCCTGCTACATGAGGCTGACATTCCTTCTCCTCCAGACGGCACTAACCGCGGCACTGCTTACATTCTATACGATACCGAAGCCGATGCTGAGGATGCTATTGCTCACATGCATGAGGCACAGCTTGATGGCGCGGTGATCAACGTTTCAATCGTCCTTCCCCGGCGCAAGATGTCCCCAGCACCTCCTGCCGCTCGACGTGGCGGAGGCTCCGATGCTAGAGGCGGCCGAGGGGGAAGAGCTCAGGGCGGATTCCACGGCGGCGGAGGAGGCGGACCCGGCCCTTTCGGCCAGAACGGTCCCCGACGGGGTGCATCGCCGCCTCAGGGTCGCTTCGGCCCCAGATCAGACACCTACCGGCCTCGATCGCTCTCGCGTTCCCCAAGCCGATCTCCCGTCGCTGCTCCTCCTTCCAGAGGCGGTGGTGGAAGCAGATACCGAAGCCGCTCAAGATCATACTCTCGGTCTCCGTCACCACCCCCGAGACGTGGAGGAGGTGCCCGCGGTAACGACCGCAACCGCCGAAGAAGGAGCCCGAGTCGAGACAGCTACGATAGCTACGATAGCCGTAGATCCCGGTCCCCGAGCCGTAGTCGTGATCGTGGCGGTCGCCGCGGCGGCGGCGGCGGCGGTGGCCGTGGTTACAGATGAGTCAATCTTGGAGCGCCACTGGGCGAGATGGGTTTGGTTTGTGATTTCTCTTTCAGGCGTTATGAGGAACGAGGAAAAGTCGGCTGGGATACCCCGAGGCAGGCGGCGGGTGTGGGCATTTCAGTCGACCCGTAAGACCTGATTATGCCTGCACGTATTCTCAGCTAATAATGCGTAGATGAATGCTCAGATTGCTGGATCTTCACACATGTTTCTCGCCCTACCTCGACTGGTGACTCAATGACACGAATCCGCCTTGCGTGCGGAATTCACTGTGTATTTTTGACATTCTCGGCTCGCAAAGCTACACTACACCTGATCACTAATCGAAAAGCCTGCAACTGTCACGTAAGAACCTCCCGCGTGGGTTAAGCGTTGCGTATGGGCTTACGCCGGAGCTTCGTATGGCACAAACTGGCAACACGATTTATTTATTTTGGTTAGTCTGAGCAGGTTGATTGGATGGTATTATGACGAATAGGAGGGCAGAGCTCGATGATCGGTCAGTCTTATTTCGCTGCTTTTCGCCTTTGCCGCAATCCTTCAGCCGATAGAGCCAACCCGATGAGTGCAATTTCCTGTGGAGTCTTGCCGGCCGTTCCCGCAATACATCACGGTTCTCAAAGGTTCCTGCGCTTTCGACAAAGTTCCTGGCCATCTCGAAGAGTCACCAAGTCTAAGCAAGGGCGAAATCTGTCCGAGTTCTTCTTCGGCGGTCGCGACTGAGTGAATTCTCGGGCGGAGAAAGTGGATGCGGTTTGGGCTTGATTTGGTATCATGTGAGCTTACACAACCTCACAGAACGCACCCTTTTGGTCTTCGCCCGATTGACATTTCAGGAGATGCAGATCAACCGGTGTTGCCTACGTCCATGACGCCTTTCACAGCGATTCGATGTTGACTCAGCTTCCATACGTGGTTATTTTTGACTCCTACGGAGCGAATCGATATCGGGGCAATAGGTAGCGTGTGGCCACTTCGACTCTTTCTGACCAAGACGTGCGGTTGCTTACGCCGAAGTGGAGGAACTGACAGCGCTATTCCGGATGCTGTTGAACTGGATATCACCTCGTGGACTACCTAGAAAGAATATGCACAGTACCTTGGGGCCGCCACAAGTGTACGACGGTTGACAGAGATTCTTCATCTTTCGGGTCACACAAACTCCATGGGCTTGGTTTCGGGCACGCTGACAACATATCTGAACGCGCACCCTCATTTGGCACTGATGAGACCCACGCAACATGCAAGTCGTCATGGTAGCTGTCAGAGCCAATCGTAGGCTGATCAAGCTGATCCCGATACTGGAATGAGGGGCAGTGGCCCCTGGGAACTCGTTCGTTCACGCAGGCATCACACCAATAACTCCGCACCCACCGCCAGCCTGATACTTCACAACCACCTGGCCGGTTCACCCAAACAAAACACCGTCGGCGGCAGCAGCAACATCAGAACCGGCAGCCGGGTACAAGATGATAATGTCTCGGCTCTTGGGTAACCCTGCTCTATTACCTACTGTTGCTCTGTCCCCCCATCAAAGTGCTGCAACAATTCTGCAGCAGGGGGTTTGAAGCCGGGGCGCCCGACAGTAACCCCCTACTCGCCATGGCTCACCCGCGATTTCGGCTAGCGAGGGCTCTTTCTGACTCAAGAAACTTGCTTTCAGTCGTCTTACAGCATGTTCAATATGCCGCAATCCACACTTGGGTGGCAGCGAGCCAAGTATTGGAAGCGGCGCAGAGGGGAGTTCCCTCGTTGTGAGTTTGGTGACTGTTTTCTACCCCAGTCAAATCCCCCACATCGCCCACTTAGGAGAAAGCTAACCTGAGCTAAATAGACCAAAGAGGTCAAACGAATGCATCTTGACCTAGTCGACTGCCTTATAACACTGGGTCTCATGATCCACCAGGCTGATCGAGACTGAAACGCCGTAAATGCAGGAGATCGTTCTCGGCCACGATCCAGCACTCCATAGAGTTTGTACAACGTCGTCGTTCAACGGTTGACAAAGCCTCGGCATCCTTCAGCCCTATGGACTTACACCCTCGCCCTGCTCCAGCCTGCTGGGTGGAAAGCGTGGAACAACGTGGGATGTGGGTGTGGCCAAATCCGCCCCGTCGGCTCTGCGCTAGACCGGATAAACGTACGCACTGCGTCCTTCGCGTCAACTGGCTTACGTCCTGGACATCTTGGATCTCTCGTCTACCCCCAGGGTGCTCATTTTGTTCCGGTGTCAGCGTGGCCGTGTCTCATTTCGCCTACCCTCCACACCCCATCTTGGAACATCATATTATCTGGATGTGTATTGGACAAAATCCGCGCGAGCCACACCACACCCGGCTGAGTGGCCCCGCGTTCATCGTCTTTCTGTCCCCAAGCCTCCTGATGGGGGCCGTTTCTTAGCCTCTCAGTGTGCTCCAAGGCCTTTTGTTCTGCTCAACTTACGTGTTCTGAGGTGTCCGCTCGGCCGGCCCCGACGTGCTTGCAGTCCGGAATCAAAGACCGGAGGACGTCGTCGCTCACATGACGGACCACCTCGGCGGGACTCTTACCACCCCCCCTTAGTCGGCGAGTGGCGCCCAGGCAGCAAGTCCAGAAATACTCTTTGGTACTGCTGGACATTGTACCGGGCGACTGATAATCAGTTGAACAACAGGTCTTCGACACATTCATGCCATCGGCGGACCGGTTGACGATTCGTTGCCTGGCTTGACTGGTTACACAGCGGCTTTCAACGAGGCATAATCCCGCGTTCGCCGTTGACATCCCATGCTGTTAACTGACACACACTTCACCCGAACCCTGCCGCACTAAGTTTGGAGTAGGATGTCCATCCACCCCTCCACAGCCATGTTTGCCTATTCCTTGCCCGCGGGGGCGCCCTTCCTACCCACTCTCTTGGGAGCCTTATGCCGAATCTGGTTGGTCGTTCCCGGTTCCTGGGAGCCTGACCGGTAGGCTGTATGTGCTTCGACTTGCCTTGCCAGAGAAGCGGCTTGAGATCCCTACGGGAAGGGAGTACATAGTTGATGTATCCTTTCGAGAGACCCCCTTCCACCCCTTGTCACACGCGATGCTTGGCAGATGAGCTATGGTTGTCGTGTCACACAAGGCAGTAATCTTCGCGCTAAGCGTCAGGTCAGTTGCCGTTCAATGTCTTTGAGGACATGGTGTCGGAGGTATGGACATGTTCCATGGACTAGCCGGGCAATGTTCAACGTTGTGGTCTGTGTATGTGGCTTGGTGTATAGGCAGAGCCTCATGGAGAGTTCGTGAAGACGTATATAGGAGACGGCTGTCATCTAGTCTGAATGTCTCAGATGGCAGAACTCTATCACCAAAACCCTCGATCACTCCTAGCGAGACTCCCAGAAATTACTGAATCAGTCACTTCATCATTCTCTGAACACATCGTCTTTGATACCTCATATTCACCAACTTCATCACACTTGGCCCCCAAATCCTGAACAACTCCAACAAGGCCACACTATAAAATTACACGTCTAGAGAGGCACACTTTGCAACAATGTTGTCCCCAATATACTCAGACATCTTGAACAAGATCTACGTACCAACACACATCTCAGACGAAGACTCAGACATCTTTGAAGAGATCCACGCACCAACACACATCTCAGAACAAGGCTCGGGCATCTACCCAATCACTTTTCCCGACCCTCCTCCAACGCCACCCGGCGGCGGTCCTCGTGGACCTAACCCTTGGCCAAACGTGCCTACACCGCCGAACAGTCCCTAAGCTGGGGGACCTTTTCTGCCACGACAATTAGCTTGGAAACTCTCTCCGGTCTACACCAATACGTCCAATATGTTGTTCGTGACCGCACCCGTTGGGGAAGAGAAGAGCGGAAAGAAGACGGCAACTCCTGCTTCGGGTCAGAAGCAGGACAGCGCGTTCTCCTCGGCTGTCAATGGAGACTCGGCAACTACCACGGGACCATTTGAACTGCCTGGTTGCCCCGTCAAGAATCCGGCTGTTAGACACGGATATTCAGCCCAACAGCCGCCGAAGCCTCAGGACCCCGCTAAGCGATCGTCTTAATGGCTTTTTAACTGGCAATACCTTTTCGACTCTTCCCTTGGCTCAGCTCGTACCTTCATCCTTGGTTTCTTCGATTCTCATTCCCTTCGCAACTTTTATATCATGTACCTTCGTTCCCCTTTCTTTTATCCCCGTCTCAAGCCCTCGGCATGAAGACGCCAACACGGGGACCAGTTCACACGCAAAGCATACACTAGACTTGCATTCTCTGCGAAGAGAAAACGCATCATCCGCATATCATTAAGCAGTCGTTTTCAAGGGTCTCCCTTTTTCTCCTATTGGTAGCAGGCATTCACGGTATCAGGCAGCATTCGCTTTTTAAGGTAGAAGAGAAATGGACGTCCATGTAGTCAATATACTTATCAACATGGAGTTTATATAACTGCACCAGTCTTCTTTTTGATATGTTCTAGGCGGTCTGGAGTGAAGAACATTATTGTTTGTGACTCAGAGGCACTTTGACTCTCTCTTGGCTTGTGATCCTTGAGATTTCCTCAGTTATGTCTCAGGTTGGCCTACGTGGGCAAAGCGGCGCGGCATCGCTGTGGTATTCCGCTTTAGTGAGGTCATATAAGAGGCTCAGGTCATTACTAAGTATTTATGAAGTAACCTAAACCCTAAATGAGGCCCAAAGAGGGATTGTTCCATGGCTCAATGATATGAGACTATCTGTGGAACTAAGGTGTACTTATTGTGGCCACTGTCTTCGCGGCATTGCTGCTGTGGTTAGGATTCATGAAGCAAATGCGGCGAGATGTATTACACTTCAGGCTCGAAGCACCCGGCGGGGGCTTTTTGGGTTTCTATACATACGTTTCGCGTGTTTCTTGAGGGCAGGCGGATTGATTTCATATGGGCATGAGGACTTGAGCTGGGACACGGGGATTCACATCTTTCTCTTTCATTTCCATCATGATTCGGTTCAGTCACAGTCAAGTGCATATATTGTAGCACGCTTCTCTCACAAATTCCCGTCATTGGTACTATCCGGTAATACATCAACCGACTTATCCCAACTTTACTCGCAGGCCCCGGAAAACCAGCATCATGTCCATTATGATGGTTGGGAGATCTCCACGACACCCGCAACACTTTCTGCTGAGATGTCGTTCTAGCCATTCACAGACGAATGATATTCCAAAAGCCTCGTACTACTGTTCTACTTTGTGACGGTTCAGAGCCATCGAAGGTTGGATGTCGATCAAGTCAACACTCGGATTCGTGCTAGACATGCTTGTATAGCTGGCCACTTCCGCAGCGAAATTTCCCCAAGTCCAATTTTACACCTTGAGAATAGAAGCTGGCAAAATCACTACAAGGAGAAGGCGGCAATAAGAGGCAAGGAGTGGGGCTTCTGATGCTCGTGTTTTCTGTCCTTGCATACTACTTCAATCGAGTATCGGTCATCTTCGCAGGCGTGGACTAGGATAGCAAACCTTAACACAGTCCATCTCTACGTTAACCACGTTGCTTCGTTTTCAACGGTTCGTTTGAATGCTCAATGGATACGGGCAAACACTAAGGCTCGTTCCACAGTCCTAGACCTTCATAACGTTCATTCAACACGCCAAAAGACCTCAGGAAAACCTAGATATTCCAAACCCATTACCGAAAAGGATAGGTTCAGGAGGTTTCATGGAAAAGAGTATACCGCTCGAGCTTCATGGCTGCGTTTCACTCTGTAATTTAAAATTCGACAAGACTGCCGTGACGCGATGATGACGGGGCACCATGGTCATTCACTTTTCTTCAGACTGTATCAAAGACTATTACAGCACATGTACACTTCCCCCATCATGAGGTTGTTGAAAGGGACCTTAGTAATAGAGCAAGCATGCCGAATCCTTTGTTCTTGTAGAGCTTCTACCGAGGAACTACGAATAAATGTGACATATGTGAATCCGATAGGTGCTTCTCCACGTCTCATGCCTCTTCGAGGTACCCTCGTGGTGAAAGCAAACGATTAGGCTGAAAAATGTAGAGAATAGGCAGACGGAGCCTGGAGGAGTTTGACGCATGGCTCAAGGTGGGCTTTTTGATTCAAATGGTTCATTTGGCCATGATTACGTTCACCAACAAGACGACTCGGAGGCGACGAGGCCGGTGAAGCCGGCGAATGTGGGTCAGATCCGGAAGAAGAACCGGTGGAGGAAGGCCGCTCACCGTGGGCCCCCGAAGTACCAGAGAGATTTTCCCACGCTGGAATCGCTGAATACTTTCCTCATCCTATCCAAGAAGTCACATATCACCGAGGAACCGAGCTACTTTCAAGGCTCTTGGTATCGTTCAACCTCTCATTGAACCACTACTACTAGTCCAGCTACCTCACAAGAGCTGTTCCGGTTGCTTGATTGATGTTGTTCAGCCCTTTCCTTAACCATAGTCAGTTTTCGCGGACTCATGGAATCCCCATTGGAAAGTGAGCAATCACGAAATGAATGTCCAACCACGTGAGAACTAGGTATTGCAGACTCAGGGGACTCATCGCTGCCGGCAGGGAGAGCGTGCTGATCAAGACAGAGAGCATGAGCGCCGCGAAAACACCCCATCAGAGACCCCTGCAAGGCAATGCTGGGCAGGGCGTAACAGGGCAAGGGGGGACCTGGCATTCAACTTGCATCTCGTGTTCCCGTGGCAGACTGCAGATGCGATGGTCCCGACTGGGATTCGCGAGGTGCTTCTGCAGCGGCCACCTGTTGCCGAACCTCCAATCTCGTTGGTCGTCGTGGTCCACGCTATTCTGCACTGCAGCTCGTGTTGAGGAGGGGAAGGGGGGGAAGAGGACACAAAAGGTGTAACCTTGGCCAAGGCAAACTGGCTTTCTGATCAAGTTACCGGATGCGCTGCCCTGTCGTGCGCACCGTGTCTCGATTATGGCCTGGCAATTGAGGAAGCTCGTATCAAGATCTTTGATAAGGCGCGAGAAATCTCTTGGTCAAATTGGCAGATCAGCCGGAATCACTTCCAGTTTCCATGGAGCGCTCGCCGGTTCCCTGCACGTTCGCATTTCGTTGAGAAGGGCGGCGGTGCCACAGGCGAGCGAAGACCACATCCTAACTTAAACTCTATTCAACTTAACCTTGTATTCCAAAAGCTGATCCAGCCGAGACACATGGTGAGACCCGCAAAGTGGTGTGTTTCTCAGTAAACTGCACAGCTTGCGAGCAAGACTCCAAATCACATCGTTGTCCAGTCCACCACGCGACAGCTTCAGCCCCAAAACAGTGTCCTCCAATGACAATGTCACCGCAAGAAGCAACCGCTGTTTTACCTTATCAATAGGGCGCATTGGGGGGCTGGTGAGCTGGACCGGGAACGTGGGCAAATGCCACCCCCTCTGTCTGCCAGTCCTTTCTTATTTCCTCTTGGCCGTGTCACTTTCCCATGCAGGGCTGCATGGGAGACGTGTGGACGTGTAACATGGGGTTTCTCCCTCGCCCCTGGGTAGTTGGTTGGCTAGCAATCTAGCATTGCTGGGCCTCCTATGCTCCATGTTGCCGGTTTCCGCTCGCTATCTCTCGAGCCTCAAGCGCGATGTTGCTATTTGCCGGGGGCCTTGTCA